TTTAGGTAGCTGATATATGTTTAAGTTCTATTTTTTTGTGTCACTTGATGTTGTGAAAAGGGATGAGATGTCATGACAGCTGTGCTTTACATCTGCTCTGAAGGAAGTAGTCGCAGAGCAGGAAGCTCTGGAATTGTGCGAGAGAGGAGACGTGACTTTTGCTTTCCATAACCGTCACGAGTCTGTGTAATATGTGTAACATCTGTCTATATGATCATAAATGCAGTTATAAAGATATTACAGTAGTTGTTTCTGCCTTTTTTGCCAAACAGCTACCGTGGTGCTAATGTAGCTAATGTCGACTCCAAATTAAGTCAAAATCTCGAGTTGGCAGCTCCTGTATCTGAGATATTTTGGCTTCACTTTTTGTAGAGTGGGAGGACGTGGAGATGCGTCGTCCATCTACAGTATATATACAGTCTATGGCTTCAAGTGGAGCGCTATAGCCCATAGAAAACTACTGGTAAGAAAGAAGGCTATCAGATGAAGTTCCACTGTAGCACTCTATCATATTTGAATAAAGCATTAAAATCAGTCCTGACTTGGCCGCACTGTCTTGAAGATGTGAAGTGATGCACTCTGGACTTCAGTGTTTGAAGCTGTGCTGGAACATTTATGCAAATTAAAGGCTGCTCTTTTATTATTCACCATTGTGAAGTTATTTTACTGTCAACTGGGAAAGGCTTTGAAATCGATTACTGTTAACTGAATAATGTTAAAATGCAGCCCCCTTTCTTTCGCAAAGTAGCTTTAAAAGTAGTAGACATTTAATTTAGCAGGCCATTTTGCTCTCTCAAAGGGACAGCTGAGGGTGACAGATAATAGCAAAAGTGGGCATGTGTATTATGTTGTTTTGAAAACTATTTTCAGAGTCCTCATAATAAAAGCATTGTTACTGGAAAACCAAAAGAGCCGCCAATTGAGATGAGAAGACAATCTACCATTGCCTTTAAAGGATTCAGACAGAAAACATTCCTTTGAACAGGCGACATTAATGACCCTGGTCTATCATAGTTTAATCACCTAAATAAAACTTGCTAGTGGTGGTCTTTAAAAAGCTCTGTAATAAAAACATCAAAAGGAAATCACACAGTGCTCTGGAAACATACCTGCACACAAGAAAGGGGGGAAAAATGTAGTAATGCATTTGATATTATGTATGCCAAAGATAACTGCTATGTCCTTGACAGATCACTGCAGCAGAGTCAAAGCTGCTCTTTCAATAAGGGTCAGCATTGGTGAACATCCTGCACAGTATAGTCCAGAGCTTCAGGATGTACTTACAGAGGGTGTGTGCGTACTCTGCTCAAATCTGTTTATTCTCTCTGGGGTCTGGAGAGTGATAGCCGAGCAGAGTTTGCCATTTCTGCTGCTGCAACCTGCGGTTTCTTAGGAAGAGGCTGTTTACTCGACCGTGACAACATTCACATAACTCCTGCGAGTGGAGAGTAAAAAGTGTATCAACATTACACAGGAAACGGATTGCAAAATTCACTGGAGTTTATACTCACTGTACTGCATTTATGTCCAAGAATAAATGGCTATTACTCATTCACGGGATATTATTTATCCAAGGTGCATTTTCATATTAAGCTAAGGAAGTCTTAACCTAAACAATTTATCATAATGTCAACCAGAAAATACACACTAACTCAGTGCACAGCTGAACTTAACCTCCCCAAAAACATACCCACAAAGCATAGAAAGTAGCCTATTAATTGGATTTTGCTGTTTGATTCTTAGTAGTGTAATTGTGGCATCTTTTTTTCTAAGATATATATCATACATGTGTTAAAAATGATACATCCTTAATTACATTTCAATATAACTTTGTTCCTGTTACCCTTTTTTGTGTCTCGTGGTGCATCAGGCCTTTTTCAGCTGTGTGCCTCAGTGATGGTCCTTCTCTGCTTCTTTTTGTCTTCTGTCGCTCAGTTCATCGCAATGTCGCAGTTGTTGTTTTGATCCTGCCTTAGTATTTGTCCGATCATCTTCCCTCCACACCACTTGTCATCCTCACTCAGCGACATCATGTTGGCTCGTTCCAATAACTCTTTATTACTGACATGGGTCTTGCCATTGATTTCGGAGGATTCTCGGGAGACACTGCTTTGTTGCCAGTGGCACTTACTGGATTATAAAATAACACAATCCAAGCAGTAATTACATTCCCAACTAAATATATTTAGCAAAGCAAATTAGTTTGTATAAAGGAAATTTCAGGTGAACACTAAACAATGAAAAGCAGTTTGTTTTGTTACTCCTGTCTTTTGCAACAACAAAAAAAGACGTGTTAGGAAATGAAATACAGTGCAGGTGTAAACAATGAGAAAAAGTAAATCCTTGCACTTCTTTGTGCATTGCTGTGGAAATCTCACTTAAAATATGAACTGTGTTTTGGGAAGCCAGGGTGGCAGTCTCACAGCCTCAGTGCATCTCCAGGGAGGACAGAGACAGATCAATTTTAATTACTAAGTAGCGTCTCAGAAAGCATGAGAGTAATGGGGATTTAAACAGCTCAGATAGCTACACTCACCTCAGGGAACCCAGAGAGCCACAGACACAAAATATAGCACGAATCCCACAGATGCACCCAGCAGAAAAAAAAGAGGGATTATGAAAACCTGTGACTTATATAATCGTGATGTTGACAGGAGCTCTGTATTTTCCCTGATTCTATACATGGCGCGGTGTAACTTCATGAAAGGGTGACTGATTATTCTCAGAAGCGTAGGACATGGATGAGGACGGCACTGTGTTTCCATGGAGATAAAAGAGAAAACTCTGGGTTAGAGCACAAGTTTAGATTTCAGGGAACAGGCACACACATACCTCTGTAAAAGAGAGCTGACCAACTCTTCGTTAAGCTTTCAACTAGTTTAACCTGCGGCGGTTTGAGAGAGTGTGAGGCAGCGATAGGAGCAAGAAAAAGGGGAAAGACAGACGGTTAGAGGGGATGCTGCAAATGGAGATCACTGCCAACTGGATGTTCATATCAGAATAGCGGGCTGGTTACATTTCACAGAGAGGTTGCCTGTTTGCTTATAGCTGCAGAGACAGCCTGCTGCACATTCTCTTAGGTCTCCTCTTACCTTGATAAAAACACCATCTGTTAAAACTCATACAACTCTTAACTACAAGGCAGCTCGCCAGTTGTTCATAAATGGGCATCTGGAAAAAAATGTTTTGGTGTAAAAAGGTACTGCGCTGCAATTCATACCGAGAGTACTGAAGCAACAAGCCCACAAGCTCAAAAATGTGCTGCAGCAGCTGAATAGATTGCGACGTAAAGTCTTAACAACGAGCAATAACAGGGTGTTTATACCCCCTCTGCAATATGCTGAAATGAATGAAAACTACACTGCATGTCTGACAAGTGGAATTCCCCCTCATCCTGCAACTGTTAAGTAAAAATAGAAGAGAGGAGCCCCTTGTGTCTAAATCCCCCTGCTGCAGAAGTCGTAGTGTTCTTCCCCTTGATGCAGAATGTTGCCAACCAGTGCAAGAAACGCTACCTTCATTATAACAAAGGGCCTGTGCTGTAATGAGCCAGATTTAGAAAAGTGAATAAATTATTGTTAGTGAGGCAAGTGAATCTATACTGTTTTGCGTTCCCTCTCCACATCGTATCAGATGTTGTTTAAATGTCCGCTCCAATTAATCCCCTTTTATGGGAGAAGAATTAGCTGCAGGACTATTTTTAGAATCAATAATATTTTACTGATTCCTGGCCTGTCCGCCACACAGACGGAGGTTATTTAAATATCCTCCCCATACTCCTGAACCTACTCTAGCTTTTGTTTGAAAACTTGCTTGTAAGCACGTGCAGTGAAAAGAACCAGCATGAGTTATTGACATCTTACCTTAATTGACCATTGATTGCCATGTCTTTGTTTCACTGGTACAGCATTCTTAGAGGCATACGTCACATTCTTTTCAATCTAGTTCAATTTCCTGTACCTGCCTGTCATGATCAATGCTTTGCGTGTCTGTGAGTGTGTTCCTAAATCAGTTGGAGGAAGTAATGTAGCTATTGACCCTCAAATGCAGGTGTTCTTCGTTATAATGATACGTGGTCATAATTGTGAATGAAGCAGATAAAAAAGACAGGATAGACACAGAGAGCTGCTGTACCCAAGAGAAGTCTCCATGTGGGATTCAGGTCGAGTTTAATGGAACCTCGTTATCCCACGGGTATACAGCCATTTAATGAGTCTATAGAGAGCATCAAAGAAATAAGCTGCGTAGGGACACTAAGCCTTATTTTTTTGTACATTTAGAAATGCCTCAAGAGGCAGCCAAAAGTGCAAAGAAAGGAGATTTTTTTCTCCTTTTTCTTATAATAACTAAATTGGTGTATGAGTATAGTACAAACCCACAGACTCATCTTCAGCAGAAATCTGTGACATTTCACTGTGACAGGAACCTGCAGTGTAAGTGCAAGTCTTGCCAACATGAACTCACACACAAACATACAGACAGACATGAGGAATGAATCTGGCCTGGAGACTCTGTAAACATGTTAGGGGACATTCAACAGCTTTATCCACTATTAGGAAGAATTTACAGCACCAACAGGTCTATAACTTAAAGAGAGAGGGGGGGTATGATCAGTGATGAGATAAGCTGTTTGAAGAAATTATAGTGGGCAAACCCTGATATATAACTTGACTCTAACATCATGACCATCACTGATAAATAAGTCATAACTGGATGGAACTTGATTTAAGCCTGATTAAGTAATAAGCACATACAATTGTCCACTGGTTGACCATCAATTAAAAGTTAAATACTATGCCTTACATATAGTTGAATGCAGAGTTGTGTTTAAAACTAGCCCTATTTAATTAAAAAAAAAACAACAACATAGTAGACTAAGTAATATCAAAGGCAATGCTCTTACAACAATCCGCTATGTCTGGATGTCATTTCTTAAACAAGAAAAGCTAAATGGGAAACTGGAATTGTGTGTGTTAGGTGCGATTTTCATTTGTTTGTAGGAGAGGCTGAATGTCTGGCTGAGTTGCTTGTTTAGATGATTTCCCCCCGTCTTGCAGTGCCACAGCTCAATGCGTCTCCAAGTGCGCACGACCAGTCTGCAGCAGCGCGCCGCATACCGCTCGCCAGGCATCTGGCTGCTCCGCGTTTATTCCTGGAGGCGCTGTTTTTCGCTCAATCATCCCCCAACAGGTGGATAAGTCGAGTGGGAAAGAACATCTGTGGGAATACGGGCTGGGGAAAACTGGACGCGTTGCTGAATCAAGTGTAATCCACCGAGACAACTTGTCGCTTTCGTCTCTTGCGCGGTAAGCTGAATGCGGAGTGCGCCGGTTTGCGTTTCACCCCCCCAAAAAATAGGACCGAATGGAAGTCGTGATGAAAACTGACGGAATCTGGATGGACAGTTCAAGTCTCCAAAAATGAGATGGGAGAATGCAGACTAGACTGAAAACCAAGAGAAAGGCGGACTGACATCACAAGGCACCAACACATGAACGGTCTTCATGCAGATCCACACTGCAGTTTTCACATTTGGGGTAAGCTATTAGGAAGTTGAGGCGAATTATGTTTTTAAGCTTGAAACATCTGTTTTATTAGTCCTCACGTGGTGTCGGGATGTTTTCAAAAGGAAGAACGTTGATCTCGGTGAGCGAACTTTAATGCCCATCCCAAACATCCCAAAGGTTAATAATTTGCGCCAGTGAAGGCTACTTGAAAATTCGCATGTTTTGTCTATAAAAGGCTTTTCACGCCAGACAGGAGTACTATATGAAGTATCAGATGTAACTTGTTGCCTTTAGGGTCCCTCGGCTTGTAACTGACGAAGGACCCCAGCAGGCAAGAAGAAGAGTCCTCTCTCATTTTCGCAACCATTTTTATTTCCATCCATGCTATTTGCTGTCAGCTTTCTCACGCACAAACACAGAAATAAAAATGTCAAAATCCCACCTGTGAGTGTAAGCATGGCGCCATTCACTGGAAATGGCACATTGAGTCTGCCAATTGACCTGTTGTCGTTAATTAATGCATGCTGGACCATTTTATAGTTGTTTTACTGCTATTGTAAACACAGGGCAGGCTTCTGGAAATAGGCTTCTTGGATTGCTGGAACGCTCAAGTATATGCATTGTGTGCTGTCCAATCAATGATACTTTCAGAATAAGAAAACATTTTGCCCATCATATTCCCTGCCTCTACGCTTGAGTGGTGCTGCACACCATAACAAACACGCTCAGATTTTCTATTTCCAAATCATGTATCGATTCTAGGAAAGTGTGATTAGACTAGAAGAAGGGCCCTCTGCACAGAAGGCTGAGCATGTGTGTTTTCAATAATAGCCCACAGTGATATCAGCAGACCATCAGTATCAACACTGGTACTGGTGTTTTGCTCAGTGGGCAGCCTAACTTTATATATAGCTGCTGTATTTTGTGGCAAATTGTGTCCCATGTTCACAATCAACTCAGTGTTTTTTTTATTGGCAAAAGCCAAATTACAATGACACAACAGTGTTATAAGCGCAGCAAACATGATATATTACCTGATATAAGACATCTGTAGAACAAACACTAAAACATACTTCTGTCTATCCTTTATATAGTGGAACAGTGAATCCAGAAATCACAAGACACACAAAATAAGCTATTGAGACCATGACTAGTTGTGAAAAAATTTACTTTTAAGAGAAAAGATATATATATATATATATTTTTTGAATAGAGTTGAATATTCAAATATATTGAAATCATATTTTTGTTTATTTTAGAATATGTTTAACGCTGTTGCTGAGGAGAGGGCTTATGTTGTTAAAAACACGTTTAGAATCAACAGACCTGACTGTGCATGCATGTTTTCTGCATCGTGCATGATTTTTACTTAACCTCTCAAGATAGATATTCAGTGGTGGTGACTGTACTGCAGTCAAAGTGGATATGTTTCACAAAGGGCTATAGCAATATCACTAATGCCCAGGATCTCAGAAATCCTTCTTTTCACGATGAAGCTCTTTTCTTTAAAGGAGGGAAATTAGAGGCACCTTAGGGCATCCCTAAAGTGCCACCTTGAGTGTAAGAGGAGATGACAGGTGACAATGGGGAAAAATATGTTGCTTAGGAACACTTGCCGACAGTTAACTGCACGATGTTCGTTTTATATCCGTTATTTTGGTGCTATATATTAGCTTGCATTTGAGCCGTCTTAAATGCCTGCCCTTTCAGCACATCAGAATTTGGCCACATTAGAGTTGCTAGTTCAAAACCCGATCCTCTCCCATGTCTTTACAGGACGTTACGTTGGCTGGGAGTAACTTCCTGAAGTCTTGTCATCACCGCGAGGTTGCCAGTCAACCAGCGGAGACTCCAGCAAGTTACTGCGCCAGCCAAGAAATAGTGACGCAAGTAACCTCCGTAAAATCACAACATGTTGTTTTCACTCTTTTTTGTGCAGACTAAACAAACACGATATAACCTCCTAATTAGTGATCTTTAGAGTTGCAGTTGGCTGGAATTTCTCACATTATGACTGAGCTTGGATAGGCGTTTTTCTCTGTTTCCAGTCTTTGTGCTAAGCTAAGCTAACCCCTGCTGGCTCTATCTTAATATTTACCGTACAGACACATTGGCATCAATCATCTCTTCTAACTCAGCACAAAAGCAAGATTTGAGTTTAAAAACATTTTTTTTTTCCTTAAAATATGTTATTTTAGAAAATCAAACTTTTACACATTTTTATAAATTGCATAGCTGTTCTCATAAACTAATTGGGCTGCTGTAAATCTGTTAATCCACTCATTATTTAAAATGCAGAGGCTCACAGAGGACAGCAGTAATGAGTTATCCTAAGACAGTGAAGAGACAGGCGGCATTACACACCAGCTACTTGAACTCCTTTTTTATATTTAGTAATATGTAACCTTTGAGACTTTATCTTGTTTAATGTTTTATTCTTCACCCTCTCCATCTCCTGCACCCCCTATTTTCTTGTCCTCTCAGTCCCCTGTGGTTTTAAATCCTCTAAAGAGCAATAGAAAATGGCCAATCCCTTGTGTTTGTATTCATGTTTTTGCGCACCTGCTCAGTGGTTATAGTCAACTCACTACTGATACTCGTTTTAGAATGAGCTCAATATTATGGTTGCATAATCTGAGGACATCCAAAGGGTTATTTCATTTTTAGGATTAACTTCTCAGATTTACAAATGCTACTTATTTATGTAATTATGAACACTACTTCCCCGTCTTCTCTTCATGGTCAGTATTTCATTATGAAAGTGTGCTTGTAGATCTCACCACTGCCAGATTACAGAGATCTTGACCGTTGCCTTAGGAGACAGTCACTGTCACTGTGACGGCTTTTTTTCTGTGAAGCTGCACTGTGCATCATAAAGCATCGTTTTTGCTGTCACCAGGCAACCACTTAGTCAGCTGATGTCAATCAATTAGCAAGCATCACTAATGACATTTAGTCATTAACTCAAGAATTAAAGATCTTATCATCCATTTGAGCTGCAACACTTCAAGCCTTCATCTCTCTCTGTCTATATAATCCCTTCACCTCTGCTCCTGTCGTCTTCTCATCTTTTCTTTTTTGTCAAAGTCAATACCAACAACATGTGTCTTCTTCCTATAACACCTTTGTTTCCGGTCCCCTCTAGTGTGACCTCCCTCAGCTTGGCAGCAGCTGTAGCAGTGTTTGCAGAGTGCCGGTAAGCTGAAGCCCAGGGAGATGTCACAGCTGTACTACCGGCGGACTGACAGCTCCTCGTACCGGGACCGCATCCCGCTGAGAGTTGTGCGGGCAGAGTCGGAGCTGTCACCTTTGGAGAAAGCCTACCTTGGAGCTGTGGAGAAGGGAGACTATGCTAGTGTCAAACAGGCTCTAGAGGTATGTGTATCTGTGTGTGTATAAGTCCATGGAAGAACGGATAATATGATAAATAGAGCCACTGAACCTCTAAATTATGGATGGATGGATGGATGGGAATTAAAGCCTTAATCTAATTGGATTGATTTAGAAAATATTAGCAGATGTATGGGTAAGATGTGCAGCCATGATTATCCTCTACTCATTTCCAATAACATCAGCGGCATCTATTTACCTTGACAGGTGTCAGATATTTAGTAGACACCAGCTGTTTGGTAGTACGTGTTTGCTCTCTCAGAGCAAAACTCTGTAGACTTGGAGTTTCTCTGTCAGATCTGAAAGGTGTGTGGTGTTAACGTTTCCGTTCAAAAATCTCTGTCAATTACTATTTTCCCTTCAACTCACTGATATTCTATTAAACAAAGTCCCAGAGTAGCACTAGAAAGAAACCCTGACTTTCAATGACTACCTCATTTTGCCAGGAGGCTGAGATCTATTTCAAGATCAACATCAACTGCATCGACCCTCTCGGCCGCACGGCTCTGCTGATTGCCATTGAGAACGAGAACCTGGAAATTATCGAACTATTGCTGAGCTTTAACGTCTACGTCGGCGATGCCCTGCTGCACGCGATCCGCAAGGAAGTGGTGGGAGCTGTGGAACTGCTGCTAAATCACAAGAAGCCTAGTGGTGGCATGCAGGTGAGGAGGGGGAATGAGGGGGATGGAAGGAGTTTTAAATTAAGAGTGCTTTATTCGTGAGGAAGGAGTGTGTCGGTGCACAGGCAGTGAGCTGCTGACAAGGCTGGGGGGCACTAGCAGAGAAACTAGGATTGTTGACGTTTACTTTCTCCCCAGAAGAAATGCATTCTTTTTTTCCAGTTTGTCAAATCATGTTTTGCTAATTTTAGCACTAATTTATTATTCTTTTTTTGTAGTTGATTCACTGATATCACCTGTAGTGATCCTATTTGTGTTTGAAGGGACCTGCGCCATGTTTTATGTGTAAAAGGTATAATAAGCTTTTATCCAGCAGAATATGGCATTGGACAGATGCACAGCTCACACCACATGTATTGTTTATCATAAAATGTATGAACAGTGATTTATAAAAGTAAATTAATAACAAACCCTAGAGAACAATGAGCTGGAAGTGCACAGTGGCCTCAATACCAATTCACTGAATGGTATAAACTGCAGTAAAAACAAAACGCTCCTCATTGTGTAGCTTACAAGCTGAATGCAGTTGCCTGCAGCTTTTTATACCATCTAAAATAATTGACCCAGTAGAGTTGGAAACAACAAAAGTCGACACTTCAAAAGGCTATCTAAGACTTCTTCTGCCTTTTGGAACAGGTCTTACATTTAAGACATTTTAATGAGTATGTTTACTGAGAGAAAGTAACATTTTATCCAAAGTTACAGTATATTTATTTTAAAAAAAAACTTCAGAATACTGCTGCTCATTAACAAAGCCTTCCTCTAGTCTTTGAGAAGTGCCTGTTTAGAGCTTTTATTGCTATAATTAAAAACAAAATACAGTGTAATTCATTTCAGATTGGTACTCTTTTGCACTGATTGCTCTCGACTCAAGGGGCATTTTCTTGTTCTTGTCCCTGCCGCACATGCACTGTGTACATACTGTACAAACTGGAACACACACGTACAGGCTGCACTTGCTCTTTTCTTCACTTCTCAGCAGTAATGCACCATAAACCACAAAGGAACAGATGTTTTTAGCTTCATCGATCAACTGAAAAGGGGACGTTATTGCTGTTTGCTGTTCCTGTTAGAAGCTGTGTGTTTGTCTTTGATAATATAAAGTGAAATAGTGGGGGGGGGGGGGGGTGAAAGGAAAAGGAAGCATGTATTAGGGAACAAAAGAGCACAAGAGATGGCTCGGGCTTGTTTGTTAAATGGAGAGAGACGGAGGGAGAATGAGATACAGAGGCCAAAAATATCCATCCGAACCCCTCAGCTGTGACATCTATCAGCCGCCACATTTCGCTTAACGTCTTTGTGAGATAGAGCTTCTGCTCATGAGCGCCTGGTTATGCTTTAAAATAGGGGAGCAAACTTGGAAGAATACATAATTGTCAGGGTCCATGGGGCCGTCACCCAGGAAAGATTCGTTAGATTATTAAGGGTGCGATGACATTCTAGGTGAGTGGGCTGTTGTGTGGGGGGAGGAAGCCAGCAGAAGAAAATGATTGGACGGGCTTAGTACAGTACTGCGACTGCCACAGATACTGGAATGTTTTTCTTTTTTTTCAAACCATTTGATTTAATGATTGCTGTTGGGATGTAAAGACAATGTGCAATAAGGTTAATTAATTGCATTTGAAAAAGATGGATAAACTGTGCTTATATGTGTTTATCCACTAGATCCCAAGTAATCCCAAAAAATATTACCAACAGCACTAATGCAAAATAGCCACGTTACACTTAAAAGAGCCGACTCTGTGATTCAGCTCTTTTGTGAATATCCCATCTCCACAGGCGAATCCTTTCCGATCACTGGGCTAACGATTGATGGCAAACATTGACTCGCAAATCAGTTCGGCATGTCGGTGAAAGTACAGATCAAAATGCGGCGCAGCGAAACGATAACTTTGCTCCCCCTAATTGAATAGTGGGGATGCATATGCTTCCTTCCATCACATGAGTAGGTTGTGAAAATAGATCACACTAAATCTCCTCAAGAGAAGGCCATTGATTATATTAAAAGGCTGTCTGGCAAAACATTGCATTATAGCTGTTGCCATTGTCTTTTCTGAGATTTATTAGCAGGAAGATTAATGTATGCCTTGCTGGAATTGTGTGTATTTATCTTTCCATTTTGCAGGCTGTCTGAATGATGTGTTTGTAATAATCTCACAAGTGTTGTGGGTTATTTGTTTTCCACTGAGCAGCGCCCTGGATATCAGCGTTTTAAACAGCTTCATGTATTATCCTCTGAGCACAGATAAGCATCTGTCGGAGGCACAAACACTGAAGCTCACAGTGTTTCTCAATTAGAAGGGCCTCAGGGTGCTTCTGTGTTGTTGTGTTTTTTCTTTTTCTGTCAGTCTTTTAATTTTTATGGGTTACTCTGCAACCTACATGTGCACATAAAGATAGTTACGTAAGGAACTCCCTCTCCTTCTTACATGGAACACAATAAGCATAATCACGCTTGCTTGACTCCACAAAGACTTGAGCTTGTTTTTCTGCAGTGTCACTCAAAAAGAGGACCGCTCAGTGTCCCACTTTATTCCATCTTGATCTGAACAGCGTTTGTGATGTTGTAGTAGGATGACAGGTGAAAACCAGTGGGGGGGTCTGGAAAATTAGCACAGTTAAAATAAAAGAAACACTGTGCTTCTGCAGATGCTTATCTTAACCCACGTGGTGACGGTGGACGCCTCATTCTAATATAAGACAAGTGGGCTACAATTTCATTCCTGTTCTCCATTATTATCATAACTCCACATCTAGCCTGCACTCCTCTTGCTCCGTGCTTGGGCACAGGCCAAGGCTGTTTGATGTCGATTATTTGATGTCCCTCCTCCTCCCACTCAGAGAACAGAGTATATAGCTTATTAGATCCCCCTCCTCCGTGACTCTCAGACGTGGATCTGTGGCACTCTTTGTAGTTGCTGCTGCTCTGAGAGTAAACTACACAAGTAGTTAGTTTCCACATGTAAAATTACTTTTGGATGCGATATGGATGATGAAATCTTTATGAGAAATCTTCATAGGTTTTTTCTCAGAGTTTCACTGATACTATTCCTGTTTCTATTCATGAAAGTGGAACTTTTCTCAAACAGCCAACGGTACAATAATCCTCAAATCTTATCTTAAAAGAGACTTTTCACATCTATTGTCTTTCAGTAATTTATTTTAGAATCAAATCAAATCTATATTCTATAAATGGCTCTATTGGGGCTTGGTCAGTAAGTCCACCGCTTTGGTTCAGACTTATCTCAACAACTGTTTGATGGATTTCTATGACATTTTGTAGAGACTTTCATGGTCCCCAGAGGATTAATTCTAGAGATGTTGGTGATCCCTTGACTTTTCTTTTAGCGCGCCATGAGCACATTGACATTTGTGGCTTCAAGCGAAGTACCTCAACCTATTGCTGGGTTGCCACGCAATTAGTCACAGATTACAGTGGTGCGTAGAAGATGAATCTGAATGACTTCCGTGATCCCCTTACATTTCATCGAGTGCAGGTCAAAGTTTTCACTTATTCAGGGAACTTTTTGTCAACATCTACCAAATGGATTGGGACAAAATCTACAGATATACATGGCTTCCAGAGGATGAATGTTAATGACTTTGGTGATACCCTGACTTTCCCTCTAAAACCACCTCGTGGCTCACATTGTATTTTTTTTACTTAAATGTCTCTGTGAGCATGTTTATGTCACCATTAGCTCAAAGCACTGCTGTGTCCCAGAGAGGCTAGCATGGCTGTTCACGCTAAGTCTTGTTATTTCGTGCTTTTCATGCTAATGAGAAGAGTAACTATTGTATATCCCTAATAAATCGATGAATACAGGAAACAGTGCTGTATATCACTTTACAGCACTGTTTCCACTCTACTTTCCTAGTGCATCCACTCATAGTAAGACTCACATAAAAGCTCTCACAGGTTTTTTTCCACGTGTCCCTTGTCGCCAAACTGTGATTTACTGTCACATATGGCTTCTCGTGTAGAAAGCTGCCAGTAGAAGGCCTCCTGCTGCTGATAGATTATTTTGTACTATCAGATGAGAACACCTTGCCTCTGAGAGACCAATATAGTTGTGTAGTTAGAAGTAGTAGTTTAAAGAGGACATTAGTCTGAGTAAAGCTCTCTCACTACACTATCCCCTTATATCTCTCCTCTGTCTACATCAAGTTGCTAAATACGTCCTAACATATCGCACAGTTATCCTCCAACAGTTCTCTGACTCTCCTGTCTCTCTCCCCCCTTTCTCTCTCACCGCAGAATCAGATAACAGTATACTTCAATTAAAAGAAGTGAAAAGAGCCAGCTTACTCTCCTGCAGCCCGCAGCCTGCTGAATGACAGGGGAATAGCAAAAAGGGGTTTAGCTGGAGTGGGTGATAAGAGGAATAGGTGGAATGAGTTTCTTTCTGAGCATAATAATTCCCTGTGAAATGTGTGAAATACTGATGCTTTTTATTACATTTTGGCCTACACCCTTTACAGCTGTCTTGATATGGACGACATTTTGTTTGTGACTTTGACCAAGGGCACCATTTCTTGCAGGCAGTTGAACTGTTTTCACTGCAGCTGCCAAAAGCTTTAATGTTTTTCTTTTTGTTGCTGTTTATTCCATTTATCTTCGCTGTGAAGACCTTTGAACTGTTCTCTGAGGGGAACAGAAGATCTTTTCGGTACTGTGTTCAACCACACCAATTACTGTACTTCCACTGCGCGCTGAGCATGTCAGTCAAACCTGACAGAAGGAACAATAAATCTGAGGTCTTTAAATTGGTAGTCGATCACATAATGGCCAAAGCCATTCATTCAATATATGTGTGGGTCTAAAGATTGTTATTCTGTGCTCTCGCTGAAAGGTTCCTCCGATCTTATTGGACAAGCAGTTCTCTGACTTCACCCCTGACATCACTCCCGTCATTCTCGCTGCACACACCAACAACTATGAAATCATCAAGCTTCTGGTGCAGAAAGGTGTGTCTATGCCACAGCCTCATGAGGTGGGTATACCATTTGTATTTTTTTTTATTGTCCACGTGAAACGCTGTATCGCCAAAATATCAACAAACGTTCTGGGGGCAAACAAAAGTCTTGTGTGCAGAAGGATTAAAGTGCAGTTATGACACTACATCCAGAGGTTGGTTATGAAAGTGTTTTATGAGTCAATAAATCGAAACGATTCAGATACAGAAGATACACTCAACTGGATTTTTACTCAACAGCAGCAATTTGTATTTTCAGTAAGGTAGTAACACAGTATACATGTCATTAAGTATTTGTATTAGGATCTTATTTATAAGATATTATCAAATAATTGACACCAACTTGATGTCTTCTGATTCTGTTAAAGCCCAGGGGTTTTCAGATTATGATTAGTTCACTTGAGAAACAAAAGGAAACATTTTCAATGTAATGTGTAAATATGCAAATAATTTATACAGTCAAAATTGGGCCTTTAATGTCTAACAACATATCCAGCATAGTTGACATAATGGATACAGCGCTTGCATTGCAGGACCGAAGCCTGATTCTATTACTAAATGCTGGGAAGCCTCATTAACATGTGTTCATGCTTTGTTTGATGCTGCAGGTGCGCTGTAACTGTGTGGAGTGTGTGTCTAGTTCAGACGTGGACAGCCTGCGGCACTCTCGTTCCCGCCTCAACATCTACAAAGCGCTGTCAAGTCCCTCGCTAATTGCGCTCTCCAGCGAGGACCCCTTCCTCACTGCATTCAGGCTCAGCTGGGAGCTGGAGGAGCTCAGCAAGGTGAGGAACGTCCTTTCGTAGGATTTGATTATGTTGCATTAATTAACCTCTCTGTGCCCTCTCATGATACCATTATGTGGCATTCAATGGCTTGTCCGTTTATTAGCTCAGCATTAATATAAATTGCTCTCGGTAAATGTCATCTGACATAAAAATAATGAAAAGGGTCAGCGATGAAAATTCACAGAAATAATTGCAAACACTGGATCATTGCCTGCTATGGTTTGTGATATTTCCATATGTAAAACACAAGTTCATTATCATTCTTTTTCTTATAAAGCTACAAATGCCAGGTGCTTTCAGGACACAAAATCCACAGATTCAATTTAGAAACACCACTTTTTAGGTCTGTACTCAGACATTTTTAATATAATATATTGACTTACATTTCAGCTGCAAGGTTCTTGCAGGACTCTTGGTGTTTAGCCATATCTGTATTCTGTGTACACTTTTTTTAAGGTGGAGAATGAGTTCAAATCAGAGTATGAGGAGCTGTCTCAGCAGTGTAAACAGTTTGCCAAGGACCTCTTGGACCAGACAAGAAGCTCCAGAGAGCTGGAGATGATCCTCAACTACAGAGATGACGTCAACTTATTGGAGGAAGAGGGCAACACCGACCTGGCAAGACTCAAACTAGCTATCAAATACCACCAAAAAGAGGTAAGCAAGATGCATACTATTTATGTATAGGTACAGTACAAGGTATTCAGTTTATGTTTTAAAGAATAATTCATAGCTTTCTAGCTGGATCAGATGGCAAAGGCTGTGAGAATCAAGGCTAAGTGAGTGAGTGCCATAGTGTGACATCTGTAGTTAATTTGATAATCACCCTGCTCACAATTAAAACACAAGAACTCAATACTTTTTGAAGGATAAAACATGAAAGACTTGTAGAAAGTAATGGGAAGGAAGCAGAGAATATCATCCTCTTGGCTATCAACAAAATGATCTCGAACACTAGAGTGCGTCTCAGTCAAGGGAGAGTCAGAGAAAGAAATATTACAGTTTCAGCCTGTAAAATTCTGCAATATATGAGAAATCATCTTGTGTTTTTTCAGGCTTCTCCTCTAGTATTCGTTTTTTTCCCCTTCTGGCCAGTATTGTTTGCTACGTTATCTACTGTACAGCTTGTTGTTAGATTTCAATGCCACATGCCTGCCAAGCCTGCTGTATTTGCTGCACCAAGCCAATGACTTCTCACAGGTGTTACTGCCAGCCAATAAAAGCAGGTGTATTGATGGTAGATCAGCATCAGTTTCTTTTTTAGTTAGGATTGTATCTTTCTTTTAGCTTTGGCAGCTGAAGATATGCAAAGCTTGAATTTCATTACCAAAGCATTAAAACTGCAAGGTAACTTCTTGATCTACTTTGTTAAAATAACATGAAGATGGTGTTTATTCATTCAAATCAAGTCAGTCATTGTGTCACTGAAAAGGCATTAGCCTGTTGCTGAATTTCTACATTCAGTTAAACATATGTGCTTCATAATAGTCTGTGATATTTAATGCAGAGCATGTATAGTACATTTGGGTTTAATGCGCAGGCAAACAGGCATTAATTAAGTGATAATTACTTTCACAGTCGAGTTTCAGTTTCCTGAAGCTTCCCAATAAATTGGACTTTTTTATTCAGCAACCCTGTAGGACCTCCGTTGCATTTTAAACACACATGAATAATTTTGAGGGAAATGGTTCAAACCTGATAGCTCCATTGCAGTATTTCCTTTACAGTCCACTGATTTCATGCTGTTTCTGTTGTGTGATAAATGTTTGTCAGGTAGAGCCAGCAACAATTGGTGTGAAAAAAAATCTAATTAAAAGGTGCAATTTCTATTCCTAATAAGTAGATACATGTGATATGTATATAAACATTCAGTATGGATAATATTTTCCAACACCCCAAAAATGTTATAATTGTTACTGAGCAGTAATACAACATCATACATCTGCATACTGACTCTTTTGTAATTAGTTAGTTATGGTTGTAATCACTTTACAATTATTTAATTTTACTGCACCTGTTAAAAGCTTAGTGCTGTGGGTGAATATAAAAGGGTTACCAGAAAATCATCTAACTGATGCATTAGCCGTTCTTCTGGGTTTAATGGGATGTAATGAGGAAGCCCGGTTATAGTGTTGCTAAGTTATGGGATGACTGATGGCTTCCTCAGGCAATAAGAAAGGGGTCAAATAAGTGTTCCGCTGAATATAAAGGTGAGGGAGCCGACACATTACTCCTCGGAGCGTTTTATAATTAATTTGTCTGTCTTTGCTCAGAGCAGATGCACTTTTGGAGGCCTCTCGATTTACGACTCTGCTCTTTCCCCCCCTCGTCCATCCAGTTGTTGCACATCAAACACAGGTTGGTGAGTGAGCATGTTGAGTCTCAAACGGACAATTGGAAGTAGTGCAACAGGTGTACATGATGATGGACAGTCCCCCTGTCATCTTATCCAGCCTGTCTGTTGTTGGCAGTAAATCCCTCATTTCACAAAAGTGTAAGCAATCATCCCCTCCTGCTGCTGAGGGGATGATTTGCCACACATCCCTCTTCCCCAGGGGTTCTTTAATTATTCAGACGATGTCCCAATATGCCCTTCTCCTGCGTGCTATCCATAACACCCTTCGACCGGGCACCGGGACTTTGATGGAGGACAGTGTCTCACGATATGAGTAACAATCCACCCAGCTGTCCTTTTTAAATGATAAATGTCCCAGCTGCCTAGATTGGTTAGCAATCATTTCAAGGTAAAGTTATTCTGTCAGAAATGCTGTTATAGAGTGCTGTAGTGTATTAAATGTTCTTTGTAAAGTCAACAAATGAAAACCTTTTTTTCAACCTGTTAGGTTCAACTAATTCCATTTTCTTCTTTCTAATAAAGCAACCTGCCTTATTATTTCTTTTTTCAAAACTCTAACCCTCATTTCAAAAATTACACCTTTTAATATGTTGATTTCTGTTGGAAACTGCACTTATTTTGATGACTTGATTTACAGATTTCTTGCAGAATATGTAGTAATGGAGCTACTGGTTTTACCTTTGTAGTATGTGGAGTGAAGATACTCTAATGGAGGCATGTGTGGAACTGGATTTAATATAGATCCAACCACACAAGCAAATATTTCATTAACAGTAATAACAGTTGTCTTGGCAGCGCTGTGCCAAAAGGTGTAGTATTTTGTGGGATATTTCTTCAGTAAATAATTCATTGAGTCAAAGAGAACAAAAGTTTGAAGTGTGTAAAATGGGTGAAGTATTTACGTAGCTTATCAGAGTTTCATAAAATTGCAACCAAAAAGAGAATTTGCAGTGGAAATCGTTTAGTAGATCTGTCAATATCTCAATGTTTTCTGCTGCAGTACAAATGTGTACAGAGTAAATATATACGAACAAACACTCACAGAGGTATTTAAAGTGATTGCTTTGTGCCTGTGACAGACGATCTTTAAGCCAGACTGGGTTTCGCCCCCTGCGAGGCATCGAGGGTTACGTGGACGCTTAGTTGGACTTGAAAGGCTTGTTTTTGCAGAGGACAGCCATTGTGTTCAGGGCATTTTGTCTGCGGTGTGATCAAAACTCATCTCTTTCAGCAATTTTCCAGACAAACACTCAAGCTCTTATAATTGGCATGACACTCAGCCTGAATGTGTGATTTATTTTTCATTTTTGTATTATTGTACAGGCTGTGGCTGAGTGTTGCACTGAGTCACAGGGAGCATGTTTTTGACTCTCAACCGAAAAAAACCGAAGGACATTTCAACTCTTAACCCTCTTATGTCGTTAGCGTGCACGCTGGCTTAGGTTTTTAGTATTTATTCTTGCATCTGTGTGTGTTTTGCGGTTTTGCTTCTGCTGTGCTCGCAGGGTTTAGAAACCCAATTTATAATGGTCTGAAGAGAAATCTCCACAGGCCTCCACTCTAAAGAGCAGAGCAAACAGAGCAGTCTGCGCTTTGATGCAGCGGGAGGCCAAATCACATAAATATGATCAGTAACACAATAAAGTGCAGATTATCCCCTCTACCTTCCTGAGGGTTTCAGCAGTGGATTACTCTCATTTGTACTGATGTACTTGCAAAAATGTAGGTGAGTACATTGAAGATTCACAGTGTGAGCGGAGCCAGACTGCCTCTTTAATGTTTGAATTCGTCAGAGGTACATGCTGTAGTATGACGTTGCCCCCTTGTGATATGTCGTAAAAACTGCAATACGGTATTTCAAGAGGTTTTTAATGCCACCATTAAATGGAGATAACATTGCAGCAAGAAGAATAAGTGTTACGTAATGAAGGACCATTAACACACAGCACTTATTCACTGCAACAGAAAGATCTGTCTTCCCAGTTCAGTCTTCAGTGGTGAGCATTGTTCAGCCTTCAGATTGTTTTGTTAAAAGAAAAGAAAGAGGTAACTCCACTTGTTCCCAATGCTAAAAATACTCACACAAGTTTATTTGTGTTTGGAATAATCTCCTTCATACTATAGCCGGACAGTGTGACCATCAGTGTGTGGGTTGATTCAGAAATCCTTTTTGTCAGCTAGAAGTTTACGTACATCGTGGTGAGGTAAGTTGTAACAAATGATGAATGATGACTATATCCTACAGGGAAACTTTTACACCATGCAAGTAAAGGTGATCAGATTGTGCAGATGATCTTGGCATATTTGACATTTATATTTCAACGATTATCAAAGCCAATCGCAACTAAAATATAGCCAGCTGTAAGTTCCATGCCTGTCGGTGTGTGTCTGTGGAAGCGGAGTAGAAGAGTTTCAGCAGACCTTTTATGTTGGTAATGCTGCAGGGGAACTTGTCTTCACAGAGCTAGAAAACACCCTGAAACATTGATAGATTAATCACTGTCCTGGCAATTTTGGGCTGTTGACAGTGGCGAGAGGCAGGAAAGGGTGTAGAGATGCACTTTCTCAATGGGATGTAAGACCAGGAGGGACTCTGATTGAGTTGTGTGAACATGCCACCTAAGGCAAACATGACACTTTATCACAGCTGAGTTTGGAAGTGATTGTGACAGACGAAGGAATGGTGACATTGTTTTTCACCAGGAAGGAGGAATAGAAAGAGGTTTGTATTGGAAAGAGGCTGTTCTTAATGAATGGAAGTTTAAATGTTACAGCAGCGTAAATCAAGGAAAGAATAATAACCTGTATCTCTATGAGGGCAGGGCACTTCAACACTTTTGCTTTCTATAAAATCAAATACTGCGAACAAAAAAAAGAAATCTTATACAGACCACATATTTATCTTGTAAAGGTACGTAATCGCCTTTTGGAGATTACGTTATTATTACAGCTATTATTACATTTCCTAATTATGGTGCTAATTAGCTTAATTTCTGACCTCATTAGCATCGCTGTCAGTGTTTAATGTATCATGCTGCTTAAGGCAAGACATCAGGCAGCTCAAGTACCTTTTGTTTACTATCATTAATTAGAAATAATGTTCTGACAAGCAGTGAAAGATGAAAGCTACAAAGGAACAGTTTTATTTATGAACGGGCCACTCGCTTGTGCGATAACACCATAAAAAACTAAAACAATGGCTCTTTTTACTGTATTATTTACTGGGATCAAGTACTTTATTACAAGACTCGGCCTGCACCCATGAGTCTGCTTCAGACTTTGGGTGCAACTTAACGAGGTTAGCCATCTCGTCTATAATCAGGTTCACGCTCAAAGGAATTATATGAAAAGAGAAAATCAACAGGGGAGCTTTTTCCTTTTTTCCTTCCCTCTTTATTTTTCCATCGTCAGCATATGTTGATATGTTGGTGATACAAAGAGTTGAAGTTGTATCATCGATCATATTCTCTCTCTCTCTCTCTCTCTCTCTCTCTCTCTCTCTCTCTCTCTCATAAAAAGTAGTCGTCTTCTTCTCCACTCATCCATGAACTTCATCTCCGATATTCCCTCTCGTCTGCATTTCCTCTCAGGTTTTGTGGCAACACTGTATAGTTGAAGTATGGAAATATGAGCAATTCTACTCCAGACCCCAACGCAGTTAGGGATCTCTGGTTCCCATGGTAACAAGGCTGCAGAGTTGGTGAATTGACACCCAACGGTGCCGGTCGACACTTTGACTCTGGTATAAAGGCTCAACGTGATATTTCATAACGCTGTTATGCGCCTGTGTTAAGTGTGTTTGCATGTGCCCATGCTGTTAAACTAATGTATTCGATACACAATGAGTTTGTTTGCTTGTTATCTTTAACGGGAATGTATTCCAGATACGTCTAGATTATCACCACATGCTGCTGATGCTACAGACCGTTTGGCGGAGGCAGTTCTGTAGCACAGCTGCAGTTTTGATGCATTGATTGTTTTGGTCTCACTGACGATTTCAAACCTGTACGCAGTTACCAAGAGAAGCATGGTAATGACCTCGACAACATTGTCCTTTATTCTTTTCCTCTTAGCACTCACATGAGGTATTGATCCCACAACATCTCAAATATTCAAACAATCCAAACAATGGAAAAGAACACAAAATATTTTCCACATGTTGAATCGTGTTGCAAACATTTTGAATAACCTTGTGTGTAAGGGAGATAAAATGGGAGATAAGACTCTCTAGTTTCTTGTAGATTCTTTTTTACTGACCTCGCAGCCTGTATAAGGTTCCTTTTATGTCAAGACTGCCTTTACTTGATTTCCTTCTAAAATATCCATGTGTGTCGATGATTACTCTTTACATTTTGACACCACCAACACATCCCACTCCTACGTTTGCATGCTCTGAACTGGAACTTGCTGCAGTTGCTAATTCTGGCACGTGGCCACTAGGGCATTATGTTCTGTGTAAAACCACTCAATAGCCTCAGGCTGAGGATGCTGTCTCCCTGCTGGAATCATACCTTAGATTAAAGTGCTAGTTATTTTTTATCTCCCTAGATCAAACAGAAAAGTATAACTCTCCTCTTTATTTCTTTAAGTTTGTAGCTCAGCCAAACTGCCAGCAGCTTTTGGCGTCCCGGTGGTATGACGAGTTCCCCGGCTGGAGACGACGCCACTGGGCCGGGAAGTTCTTCACCTGTGTCTTCATCGGCCTCCTCTATCCTGTGTTTGCTCTGTGGTACCTCATCGCTCCTAAGAGTCGCCAAGGCCTCTTCATCCGCAAGCCCTTCATCAAGTTCATCTGCCACACAGCATCCTACCTGACCTTTCTGTTCCTGCTGCTCCTCGCCTCCCAGCACATTGTCACCACAGAGCAGGACAGGCAGGACAGACAGGGCCCCGCACCGACCACTGTGGAGTGGATGATCCTGCCCTGGGTGCTGGGTGAGTAAAATGAGTGAAGTCTGATCCATCCTATTGACTTTAGTGATCCCCAGACTTTTCTTCTAGCACCACTATGAGCTTGACATTTGTGGTTTTTAGGGAAACGTCTCTACAAATATTGATTGGATTGCCATAAAATGACCTCGCAGAATGAATTGTCATGACTTTGTTGATCCCTGGACTGTTCATCTAGCTTCAGCATCAAGTCAAAATTTTAATTTGGTTTCATTACCAATACATTGGTTAATGACCCAATAGCTGCACAAGTAATTACATCCATCCCATCAGCCTCAGCTGTACTTTGCGATTAGTGCTGATCTAATGTTAGCATGCAAACAAGCCAAACTGAGATGGTGAACCTGGTAAACATTATAACTGCTAAACATCAGCATGTTAACAGTCATTGTGTCTTGTTAATACAATTCTAATGCATTTGTATAATCCATGCCCATCCAAACTAAAAAGGCTCTAACTCCCACTCACCTGAAAATGTCTGTGCAGGAAATAAACGTGACTTTTATTTCCAGAACCTTGGATGCAGCAATGACTTTTAGAAATACTACCTGCTCGCCAATCAGAAACAAGTATTTTTCATGTCCATGGTATGAGGATTTTTATTGAACAGATGATCTGACAATCTCTGTATTGCCAGGATTCATCTGGGCAGAGATCAAACAAATGTGGGATGGTGGTTTCCAAGACTACGTCCACGACTGGTGGAACCTGATGGACTTTGTCATGAACTCTCTGTACCTGGCCACCATCTCCCTAAAGATCGTAGCCTACGCTAAGGTAACCAATTATCTAAGAATAGAAGTCAAATAGACAAGGTGCAGTGTAACTTTATAGTGCTCTCACTTTATCTGTTTCCATCCTCTGTCCTGTTCAGTACAGTGGTAGTAAACCGAGGAACCAGTGGGAGATGTGGCACCCAACCCTAGTAGCTGAGGCAGTGTTTGCCATTGCAAACATTTTCAGTTCCCTGCGCCTCATCTCGCTGTTCACAGCCAACTCTCACCTTGGGCCACTGCAGATCTCTCTGGGCAGAATGCTGCTGGACATCCTGAAGTTCCTCTTCATCTACTGTCTGGTAAACACACAAACGTTTGCACACAGACGGGAATATAGTCATGCATACAGAAACACATGGATTTGTTAAAATTATTGCATCCACTTGGCACACACTTCTTCTCTCTTTCTCCAGGTCCTACTTGCATTTGCTAATGGGCTGAACCAGCTCTACTTTTACTATGAGACCAAGGCTTCAGATGAGAGGGGGAAATGCAAAGGCATCCGCTGTGTGGAGCAGAATAACGCTTTCTCCACGTGAGTTCACATGAATCCAAACGTGCTTGCATGCGTAGTCTAGATGTGTGATGGTGTGAAATTCAGTGGCAAAGTATGAGAGAGTTGTGTGTCTCTGTATATTGCTGTTACTGGTTGAAAAATGTGTGAAAACAAAAATAATAAAAAAGTTTCAGTTGCTAAGAGAAACTGATGTTTTTGCAGGCTTTGAGTAACACATATATTTCCCTGTTTCCCTTGCAGGTTATTTGAGACACTGCAGTCTCTCTTCTGGTCAATCTTTGGTCTGATCAGCCTGTATGTGACCAACGTGGATGCTGACCATCAGTTCACTGAGTTTGTCGGCGCCACCATGTTCGGCACCTACAACATCATCTCACTGGTGGTGCTCCTGAACATGCTCATAGCCATGATGAACAACTCCTACCAGCACATTGCTGTGAGCGCAGCTGGAACACACTGCAAACAAAAAGACGCATGAGTGTGTGGGATAGATGATGTTTGTGTCGTGCTTTTCACGTGCCCTAATCTCGGTTTCAGGATCATGCAGACATCGAGTGGAAGTTTGCCAGGACAAAGCTGTGGATGAGTTACTTTGAAGAAGGGGCCACTCTGCCAGCCCCGTTCAACATCATCCCCAGCCCCAAATCATTCTTGTACCTCATCTGCTGGATCAAGAGACAAGTGTGCAAGAGGTCCAGAGCCAAGCGCCCTGAAACCTTTGGAACTATTGGAGTAAGTCAGGTGTCAAATACTAAAACACACATTGAAGAAGAAGAGTTTGCGTGTCTGTTTTTTTTCATCGATACTTGTCAATGCTATCAATTCAAAGAAGAAACCATGAATCTCACTTTAGAGCACAAGTCTTTCTTGTCTTATGCTGCAACACTCAGGGGGGCCATATGCAGCGAGACCCACAGACAGCAAAGTGTAATGCAAATGTGTGATACCGTGAAGAAAAAGTAAATATGCCCTTTCTCTCATCTCCCACTCTTTTACTAACTCACGCTCTCTGGCATCTGATTTCTGTGCAGAGGCGAGCAGCAGATAACCTGAGGGTAAACCATCAGTATCAGGTAAATGTAGTCTTTTTCAAAGCAAGCTGAAAACAATTACTGTCCTCTGCTAGTGTGTGCGTGTGTGTGTGTGTGTGTGTGTGTGTGTGTGTGTGTGTGTGTGTGTGTGTGTGTGAGAGAGAGAGACAGAGATCACACTGCTCTTCGACGCCTTTCTACACTTTCAATTTCCATCTGTCAATAGAATGATTTTGCGATGTCTCACACAATTACACCCAGCGGGATGTTCATCACCGTTCTCTGCAGAGTATTTCCTATTTGCCCATATCTGCAGGTGGTTATTGTAGCATTTTTGGATGAGATGCAGCTTGAAATGCGTTTCCTTTTGTGCGTATATATTTGGCGTCTTTTTGACTGTGAGTTTTGTATTGAAGCAACACTTTCATTCAATATTGGAGGATGTTATTGTGTTGCCTTTTGTTTCACGGATGTAGGAGGTGCTGAGGAACTTGGTGAAACGTTATGTGGCCGCCATGATCAGAGATGCTAAGACAGAGGAAGGCCTGACTGAAGAGAACTTCAAGGTGGGCACAGCTCCTAGCAGAGAATAAGCGTCTATAATCAATATATATTAACAATAGATCACATGACTGTAAGGAGTGGCTCATAGTGACGACCCACAGAGAATTATCACCCGACTCTGCAGTTAGAGTTCAGGTCGCTGTTTTGGTTTTCCATCCCACAACTTTGCTGTCAGATAGACAGACACAGTTAGCAACTATCTGGTAAACATGGAACATTTAGCTTCTAAGAAGCCAGATATTTCCCTCTGGAGTTGGTAGAGACCAAAATGCAATTGCGAAATGCCATTAAAATGTTCTCATATCCTTTGTGACAAAACAAAATTGCTGTATCAATATTTTATGAATTACACTTTCTACACTTAGTATTGTCCGAGCTAGAATATAATCAATACTCTACAGAGTGCCCTGAAAATACCAACTACTCAGGCTAATATAGTCAAATGAAAAAAACATTCGTTAATTTACCAGGGGAGCTCACTTTTTGCTTTCCTCTTCCAGGAACTGAAACAAGATATCTCCAGTTTTCGTTACGAGGTGATGGGCATGGTGAAGACAGGGAAGCCTGCTCTACAGGTGGCAAAGGCCAGTGGGAGCTCAGCGGAGTCCAGCCTTGCTTACCCCAACTCCTCGCTCAAGGTTTCTCCCTCGCCCCAGAGCGTGCAGGTGAAAAGCAAACTCAACCGTTTCAAGATGATCGCATCCATCCTCAAGCAGGGCAGTGGTACAGCTTCACCCAGGCCGCCTGAAGCCTCCAACGGTCTACCTAATGGACTTGTGGTCTCTGAAGAGAGCTCCAGCATAAGCCAGGGGAGAAATTCCCCGAAAGATATCACTGACTTTGGCTTGTTCCAGAAACGCCACTGGAGTGGAAATGAAGCCACATTAGGTGCAGGAGAGATTTCCAGAGACATGTACTCTTTGTCAGAGGAGGCAGGGGAGTCCGTGGGCTCAGACGCAGAGCAGCAGGCAAGAGGTAAGGATGCTAAAGAACTCCTGCAGACAGAAAAGAAGGAGGAAGCTGCAGAAAATGAGGCCCCAAATGAAAGCAACGATGTATTGAAGACCAACAATAGCTCAGATGAAGGTGGGGAAAAAGAAACGGAGAAAAGGGACAACGAGAGTTTATCCTGCGGTGACTCAGTAGCTGGTGGAAGTTTGCCAGTGTCGTCCAGAGAAGAAGCATAAGCTATGACGGCACGTGGATATAACTAAAGGCCCAGTAATGCTGGACTGAAGAAAGAGAGAGAGACAATCAATGTGAGTTTCAAGTGAGGTTGTTTTGCAAAGAGTCTTGACTTTTCCAGTTATTACCAAACTAATGATCAGATTTGATCTTTGGAGACTCAGAGAGGCTTTTGGTGTAAGTGTTTTAAATGCAGCTATGTTAGAAGTGGAGATGCAGCAAAGGTAAACTGAGCTCTGTGTGAGCATAGCAAGGATTTAGATTTTAGGATAAAGTCATCTTATCGCATCCCTACTGGTTGGAAAGTAATTATTTCCTGAAACTGATCATTTTTAACATCTCTCTCTCTCTCTCTCTCTCCCTGTCACTTACCTGACATGTGCCCTTCTTTTCAAGTTCCTTCATCAATCTCTCTCTCTCTACCTCTTTTCCTTTCCCGTTTATCTCTACACCGCTTAACTGCCCATCCTTATCTCACTAGAGCAATAGATGTGTTCTGTTTTAGACCCGACCCTCTGCCTTACTCTGTCTGTTTCTGCACTTTACACTGGCATACGCTGTCTGAAAGATGTGTCAAGCTCTGATCATGCAACAATTCTCTCAATGTTTTTCTATGCAAAACCTGGGATTGAGATTTTCATCATTCTGAAGAGGACGGAGGTACAAATAACAGTGACAGGTCATGACAAGTATTCTCGTAAAGTTGAACGTGGCCAATGAAGAATAATGGGAGGTACACAATATGAACACAGCCTATTTAAAGCAACATATTATTGATGTTTTGTCACTCCCACAGAAAATGAACTTGTTATTTTGAGAAATGTGCTTGTTTTTATTGTTTTAACTGGTACCTTTTAGATGTCATGTTAGTTTAAATGAATGAATGTTAATGAATTAAAACATAGATCAACTCTTTATTTGGCTTTTTTCTTTTGTCCAATGCAGATTACAGACAGATGGTGACATGCTCGCTCATCTTATTAGGATTTCACTTTTGCAAAGACTATTTTATTTTATGTTGCTGCTTAGTAAGTGTTTACAGTTTAACAATAATGATGTTTTGTAGGTTATTTGTAGTCATTCATTCTTTAAGGCTGTTTGATTCTGAAAAAAACTTAAAAAAAAGTGAGGTATTCAAAAGAAATAACTCCAAAAAACATACTTGGTTTGATTCAAAAGCGTACAGCCCTATTTTCCTTGCTGTTTTCGTGGATTTAATCTGATGTCAAGGACATGTTTATGTTCTTTGAAAAAGAGTTTTAAAGCCATGAAGCCATAACTACATAGTACCAAACATGATGAACCGGCCACTGAACATGATGCACGTATACTAATACTTAATGGGTTAATAGTTGACTTGCAGTTTACACATTTACACCGGACACTGTCACTAACTTGGCTTAGGCTTCTATTTAAAAAGCTGATGTCCGCAAGATTCACTCCACTCCCAGGGCTCCAAATTAACAACGCATACATTTATAATAAAGGATGGTGCAGAGCCTGTAGATAAGTCTGAGGAACAGGCCCCAGGTAATCAGCACTATATTTTTGGATTCTCAATTCTCCATGGGCACAGCATCAGTTAATGAACCGCCTGCCAGACCAGAAATATTTATATATTCATTAATTGTTGAGACTCATTTTTCAATTAAAATAATCTAGTTTGAAGTCTGCTTGTGTTGCAAAATCTTCCATTCAGTTACATTTACCATACTGTTTTTAACACATAACACATTCAACTTTATACTTCAAACTGTGTATTTGAGTTGTTTTGAATGGAGGTATTGTTGAACAGTGTGAATCCCAGAAGCGAGTGCCATATAACGAGTGCATTAAAGGAGTTAGACCACGTTCCGTACAGAATAACTGAATGCATTCAGCAGGCTTTTTCTTTCATGATCCAACACAGTCTGCCCTGTAACGACCCATTAATGTCTCTCCATTAACAGTCAGTGCAGCAGCACCACACAACGAGAGCATTTTGTAAATGTGTCCTTTATCTGCCAAATGTTTCCACCACTTGAACTGCCACTGAAAACTCTTCAGTTCTATGAAGAGCATGAGTTTGTTACTCAAATGTGTACAGTTGAACCATCAACCCTTATCATTCATTCTACCGCGTAAGATTTAGTAGCCATTGTGTTCCTTTGTCGCCCTCTGTGTGTTTGTGTGTGTATGTAGGTGTGTGTGTGTTATTGCATTAATCTTTCATATCTCATTTATTCTAGTAGTAGCAGATTTCAGTCATTTGCAAGGATCTTCTTTCTTACTCGCATAAGCGAAACAGACTTATTTTACTCTGTTTCTTCTTTGCAAATGAGTGTATGTGTATGTGAATGGGCCGTTCAATCCAGGAAGCCAAACCATGCTGAATGACTTTTGGTACGTGGAGAAAAATCAAGAGAAGGACAAGGAAGAAAGTTTCTACAAAGAATAGGAATAAGAAATCTCAGAAAAAATCTCAGGTTCCAACAACTTCACAACACGTGTGCACTATTTAAGAAAACTGCCCTGTGTGTTCTCCCACAAACTAGACATTTTTATTTTCTCTGAACTGATCTTTTGGCTGTTTTATTTCACTTTCCTTTTTGTACTTTAATACGTTCAAACAAGTGAGCAGGCCAATGAAAAAATATGAAATATTCAACAGTTGATGAAACTGTGCTCCATGTGTGATCAAAAGGCTGCGTAGAAATTCCCCGGGGTTTGTGATGGACCTGCCAACGTTGAACAAGACTGTCACAGATGCAGAAACACATAATTGGAAAGCGCTTACACTAGCATATAAACATGCTCCCACAATGCTTAATAAATCTTATTCAGTGATATGAATATTGTCGAATTCTACATATTTGATAACAAATAATGATGTGTGACTTTCAATTCTGACTAAACTGATTAGTTCTAAACCTCCAGATAAGCTATTAATTTGAACACACAAGGTTGACAGTTCAAATTAGATGTATTAATGTGAATAACGTGGAGACACACACACATGTGGGAAAATGAACAGGCACACTTTTTTAAACATAATGTTAATGGGATTTTGAAAACGTTGAGTAATCCAAGTTGCGGAGGACTCAAACACGGCTGCACTGACAAGTCCTCTCCACTTGGGGGGGATGTCATTATAGGGTCGGGGTTCCTGATCACTGCTTCCTCTCTGCCACTATCTCTCTGCAGGATCTGAGATCCAAAATAACCACCTGCAACCTGGAGAGGACTGTGGTGCAGTTTTGTGGGAAGAAACCGCTCAACAGGATTTAAATTCCTCTTAAAGGTTTGTCTCAGACAATGGAAAGGTGACAGAACAGAGACAAAGGAAAGAGAGGCATTCAATTTACTTTTAACTTTAATCTAAGTTACCGTTTACCATGTGTGTGTCTGTTTATGTCTAGGGATCAAAGAGGAAAAAAGGACAGGAGATCAATAAGGTTTAAATTACTGTAAATTCCAGACTGGGCTGAATATGTGTGTTCCCAGTCTGTAAAGTTTGTCTTAGACAAACAAGAAGTTATCTCTAAAGGGAGGATGCCCTGATGGAGGCAGCTCAGCTTCCTGCATGCTGCTGTCCTCCCGGGGACCAGAGGGGTCATGCCAGTTCAGCAAGAGTGAGTCAATCTTTGATGTGCTGTAGTGATTTCAATTAATCATTCAAAGAAGACAATCTTCATTTCTTCCCGCTGTTCATTACTGTTGGCCAAGGACACCTCAGGGAAAACTTTCTTATCTTTGCTCTACTGCATTATATGTATTTAATATAAGAAACTAAACATTTACTTATACCATGGTGCCCTCTGTGTGTGTGGTCACGTTTGTGGTGTAGACCACAGGATTTAGCTCTCAATTCAATGAATCAACGTCATCAAAAGTGTCCTTTCTTACATGTTTCTCAGTTTAGATGCATACTTGTTCATGCTCACAAGTCAAGACTGTATATGACGAGTAGCCTTTTCCATGATGAATTTTCCCTTTGAGGCAGTATCAGATCTGGCTTCAACACAAGAGACGGAGAGAGCTGTAAAAGTTGGGACCGGGGAAGAAGCTGATAAACGATGAACATGACAGCAGGGAGGATGAAGGGGATAACAGAGGAGTCGGAGTGCAAATGGGAGTTCAGGGGAGGAAAGGCTGAATCCACATAGTGAAGGTAATGAGGAGACTGGTGTCCCAGGGGAGGGATGGTAAAAATATATTAAGGCTTCTGTTAAGCAAAGTGTAAACCCATCATCTACTCAGATAGATCACTACGGGTCTTTGAGTTTGATTTACAGCCTCATTTCATAGCCTATTAAAAACATTTCAGTCCATTTAATTCACATATTTGGCTGCCAAATTTCAGAGGTGTGCTTTCTGCCTGTGTGTTTGAGAAATAGGAGGACTTTTAATAAGTTACTGTCTTACTTGTTTGTTTTTTTAACCGTGATGGGGATCAAAACACAATATATTCTTAAAAAACAATCAATCCACAGCTGGAATATAAAACTTATAATGATTATAGAGTGTAGAACGATGTGAAGTTTGAGGTACGGGGTGTCCTCGGTGCTCTGGGATGTGATGGTGGTAATGATATTCATGAGAAATCCGTGTGCAGCAACGTGAGGGAGGGGGAGACAATTAAGCTTTGAGTCAAAGCAGGAGGGAGGATTTTGGAAGAGTGTGTGTGGGTGAGAGCAGGCTGTAATGGTATGGAAAAGACAGTGAGGGAGTAAAGAGAGAGTGGGTGGGTATGGGTGTGTGTTAGAGAGTTGGTATAAAGGCTCCCTCTCTGACTCAGACTCACATATCTCCTGCGTATTTTTTTGGGGTGTGCAGGTGTTTACAAGACAGCGTGTGTGTGTGTGTGTTTGTGCCCTTGAGGACTGATTTCTCCCCAGGATGCATCAGCTGCTCGTGGTGACCTCAGTGCTGGTGGCACTCTGCTCTCTAGGCAGTGTGGATACTTCCGCCTATGATAAGATAGTCACCCATAGTCGCATACGGGCCAGGAAAGAAGGGTAAGGAGATGGGACATGGGGAAGGGAGGGAAAGAGGGATTGAAAGTATGAGGGGAGAGAGAGGTGACAAATGCCAAACTTAAAGAACAATGCAGCAGCTTTTTATGTTTCTAATTTCGCAGATAACTGGCAATTTTTACAACCCTGGTCAACTTGTTTGCATTTGTATGCTGAACAAATATTTGCACAGTAATTGTAGTATCAGTAGTCAGCCACAGATACTGTATGTACCCATATGAAGAGCTATGTAAGTCAGATTTTATATCCGTGCTGTTTTAAGGTGTTTTTTTTATCACAAAGAGCACTCGATCATGAGTAGAGAAGTAGGCCATATCGATGAAATTATTGATTTAAGCCATTACGGAAAATTCAATATCGTCTGGCGCATTCATTCACTCTTCTGCTGTTAATAATGTGCCCAATTTAGCATTTGAATTTGATTCTGAGTTGAAATTTTTCATTTAAGTTAAAGGAATTATCTTTCCTTGCTTTCTGAAATTGACTTATATTAAGAAGATTAGACAAAGATTTTAACGTATAAGCTGCAAAATACTTACCTGTCTCTCTCCTCTCCCCACTTCCTCCCTCAACTTTCCTTTTCAACCCCCGGTTCTCGCTTTCCTTGTCACTCCCTCATCACCTCCTCCCCTCCCTTCTCTTACAGACCCAATGTGTGCGCCCTGCAACAGGTCCAAGGGTCTAAAAAGAAGTACTTCAGCACATGTAGGAACTGGTACAAAGGCTCCATCTGTGGCAAGAAGACGTAAGTCTACCAAAACAGGGAATGGATCTAATTGCAACGTGATTTTATTAGATTCCTTTTTATTATTAATATTATTTGCACAGAACCCAATTGACCTTACCAAAAGTGCAAACCACTCCCAGCTTTCACACATCCTTCACATATACAGGAATATTTCCACATTTTCAAACAAGTCAGATAATACATGTGGATTCCACTGCTGCGTTTACCTCTTTAATGCCCTTTCTTTATGAACCGTAGAGGTCAGCTCTGTGTGAGTCCTGTTGTCTGGACCCTCAAGCTCTTTCCGTGTCCTTCAAGTCACCCTGACTGACACGTAGCTGTCTCACTTTCTTCTCTGAGGGTCTATGATGATGATGATTGAGCTTTTAAATTGCAAACATTTTAAAGATGTCTTTTTAAGGATTTTAGGGATTTCTTAAACATGAAAAGAGAAAAGACCCAAGCTGCAGCATATATCTCCCTCTATCTCTCTATTTGTACAGTATTTATTTTTGTCTCGATTAAGCCCTCCCCAGCTCTCAAGTCTGGACATGCTATGTAGCCTGCGGGCCGGGGGTTCGCTCTATTGTGGGCCTCTTGATGGTGTGAACTTGACAATGATTAGTGCCCCACTTCCCCTCTGACACGTTTCAGGTGCTCAGGAAAAATGTTGCCCATGTGCTTTTAGTGTGTGTGTGCAGTTTGGCAAAACGGGAGGATATCTTGTAACTCTAGTTTCACCAGATTCGGTGGGTACTTGATTTGTACTGTATGTGTGCATGCAAGAAGAATGTGTATGTGTCTTATACTGCGTTTTGAAACTCTTTATTCTGAGGCAAATTAGCCATCTTTGAGGGAGAGTTCTTTATAGTGCTAGTATAAGTGAACAGTTTTCTGTCCTACTGCAGAGGTGATGTACTGTATATGCTTCAGAATTCACAATAAACTGGAAAGAACATGATTTTTCCTGAATTACATATGTCAAATATAGAGATAGTAATTTGCCAAAATGTTGGACTAAGAGCAAAAGAGTAGAGTGCATGAATGGCTTTAGATATTTGAGCTTCTGCGGGACATGTTGTTGATGGATTTATGTCGGTGCAATATTTTCTCATGCCATGACTTGCTGAATGAGTAGATATTACAGCAAAAAATATGCAATCATAGGAAATATAGCTGCTTATGTGTTGATGGAGTGTAAGGCTCAGCTGGAGTTGTACACACACATAAACCTAAGCGAAGCCAGCAGAATTGTGCTGCTCTTTCTCCCTCTGTCTGTGGTCACAGTGAGGACATTGTTCAGGAGCAGTGGAGGAAATCCCCCCAGCTGTGATTATGTCTGAGCGGGATTTGGTGTTGATGAGAGAATAGGAAAGATAGCATGGCTATTTGGATGTTCCAATGTACATTGGACGCTGGTGTGCTAATAAGGTCCTGTTTAAACAAGTCGTGAGGGTGCAGCAGTTGACGCAGTACTTGGCCTGATTCTCTTAGAAACCACTATCGCAAAGAACTAATTACGCTGGTGTGAATTTAACATGCTTTTTGTTTTTTCTAATTCTCAATATAAGTAAAATTATACCATGGGGATTTTTTTATGCCTTCATTCACACAAAGAACTGTTGAGGTGCATTGCCGGAGGGTCAGGCGGTAGCGATGTTCTTCAAAGTAATGCGCTGTAGGTGGCAACACAACATGCAGGGAGTAGAGGACAAGGGCTTAATTTGTGGTTAAATCATAATAGTGTGAGTGAAATGGTAAAGCCCATTCCCATGTATAGAAATGGAAAATGTTGGCAAGTATTCAGGAAGTCACTGGCACTGCAGAAAGAAAAGCCCCTTGATGAGGACACAAGAGACACTGTTGATTGTTAATTACATCACAGGAAAAGAACTGTAATGATTTTATCTGATGCCAAACAACCCCACCTAGTGTTTCTGTGTGAGTGTACTGTGTGAATGTGTGTTAGTGTGTGTATTCATGCCCTGTGTTTCCACAACTGCTCATCTGGAAGCCACATCAAACTAGTTCATGCAGTGATACTGCCAAAAGCCTAGTTTGCAGTGTGCTGGCTAGTTTTGTCTCAATATTGCATCCATTATCCTGTCAGAGCACAGTCGGGGCGCAATGACTTCATAGCTTTCTGACAGCCAGCTGTACATGTATATTTACGTATTTTACACTATAACAATTAGGGTCAACGCAGAAAATGATTGCTATACATGCGGCATGGCCGTGTGCAGAAAAATTCACCATTCAGTATCATTGCACACATCATAAACACACAAATGCTGATTCAAGTGGATTAAAGATGTTTGCCAAGACATTTGAGTCATTTAAGGGAGTTGAAGGGAAAAAGTGTGGGATGCTGTGAGTGTGTGTGTGTGTGTGTGTGTGTGTGTGTGATAGTGTTTGAAGTGGCTATGAAGGGCGTATTTTTCTCTTGCATAATATATCACTTCTGTTCAATTTCTGAAAGGAAAGTAAACAGTTTCTTGTTTTGGACACTGTAGAGAAAGCAGAGAGTTCATATAGAAAGTGCTGTCATGGGAAAACAGAAAGCAGGAAACTCTGCCCCAAACCTCACTAAGCAAACCTCTTTAGCAAACACACAAAAAGCTCCTACTGGAACTCATGAAGTTATTAGGGTTAAACCTCAATTAAACTTATTCCAGCATTCAGGAACTCCATGGCTGTTTCTCTGGTGGATCATTGTTGAGCATCCAATGTTGACTCACTGCTAGTCTTGTTTCTTGGAAGATCTGGGATCAATCCAAATCAAATATTTAATTACCGTCCACGGTTCATTTTCATTAAAACTCTACTTATTCTACTCCATTAAACCTGAATTTTACAGAATACTCAGTTGTGGCACACACTGTCAGTCTTCTCACACCTCATTCATAACATTGCAATGAAATGCAGTTTGATTTCCTGTAAACCATACGACTGCTTGAATAGTCAGACTGCTTGAATAGTCAGCTGCACAGCTCCTTTTAGTGTTAGGAGGTCCGCTCAGCTTCCTGCCAAGAAGTTTCTACTTTTTGGAGCTCTGTTTTCACAAAGTTCAGAAGCTGCTTCTTCCACCCAAAAGCCTCAACCTATCGCTTATTCACGAGAAGTTGACTGTATATCTGTATTTTCTTGGAGACTTCCTTGTGAGTTAGATTAATGGCCAACAGAAAGAGCAGCTGAGGGGCACCAGACACCCCTGTCTGGTTTTCATGTTGGCATCCCCATCTCCATTTGGGGATGTTTTTATTATTGAGTCCATTCCAGCTGTTCTCTGTGATTGGCCTGCTGAGAGTTGTGCACACTCTGCCTGGTTAATGGACCATTTTGATGTTCATGGTGTTTTTCTTGTCTTTTCTCCTTGACTTACTTGCTTTTTTGGATGTTTTCTTCACTTTTTTCTGCTTTGACTTTTAAATGTGCTTTGCCCAATTATGGATTTTGTATTTGGTGAGTAAGATCCTGTCTCTGTGCAGCCTTTCTCTGTGTATGAATATCATTCATTTACGTTTATCAAGATTAGTTAATCTATTGTATCACAAGTCTAACATATTTGTGTTTTTCTTTTGGAAGCCTGGTCCGATATGAATGCTGTCCTGGGTACATCAAGCTGGAGGGTATGAGAGGATGCCCTGCAGGTAAGTGGCTCTCACCACAGCCCCTTTTCTGTCTTCTTTTCTGGTAAATTCTAAATGTGTATTCACTCATACTATAGACTAGTCTGAATTCCTCTGCTTCCCCCCAGTGGCTCCCATTGACCATGTCTATGGAACGCTGGGGCTCGTAAAGGCTACGACCACACAGCAATACTCTGACGTGTCCAAGCTGAGAGAGGAAATTGAAGGCAAAGGCTCCTTTACCATGTTTGCACCTAGCAATGGAGCCTGGGATTTGGTAGAATCTGTGAGTGGACTGAAGGTTTCAAACTTTTCTAAGGGAATACAAATAAATGCAATATACTACTATATTACTCAAACTTGCTGCCCTTAATGTTGTGATTTCCTTAGGATGTACGGTCTGCACTGGTGAGCAACGTGAACATTGAGCTGTACAACGCTCTTCACTTCCACATGGTGAACCGCAGGATTTTGACCAAAGACATGAAGAACGACATGACTTTCACTTCCATGTACAATGACCTGGGGCTCTACATCAACCACTACTCAAATGGGGTCAGTTTGTTGAAATGCACAACATTGCATGAGCACATGATTGAATTATGTCTATAAAGGACTTCTGACCGTAATGATGGTCTTGGCTTAATATAACATTTCCTCTTCATGAAGATTGTTACAGTGAACTGTGCCAGGATCATCCATGGTAATCAGGTGTCCACAAATGGTGTGGTGCATGTCATTGATCGGGTCATCAGCGGTGTTGGCATCAACATCAAGGAAGTCCTGGATGTCACCGATGAGCTCTCCACCTTCAGAGTATGTAATACAAAAAGCACTCTAAGCTTGAAATGGGCTACAAAACAAATGTTACATTTGAATGTGCACGAAGTAGAATGTGTGTAAAATTATAATGCTGATTTAAAATAGTATAAATCCGAAACTCTGATGTGTGTTTCGTTTATCTCAGAATGACAAAATGTGAGACACACTGTCTTCTTGTTTCCCAGGATTCAGTATTGGCGTCTGGTATGATGGATAAGCTGGACCAGCCTGGCCACTATACTCTGTTTGCTCCCACTGATGAAGCCTTTGACAAATTGAGCCCAGGCTACCTGGAGCGTATCATGGGAGACAAGGCTGTAATTGCAGGTACACTGTACATGGGACACACTAATAGTGACATAAACTGCTAACATACCATGTTTGGTTGATTTTAATGTGCAACATGTTTGAACACTTATATTATATTATAGTTCACCACTTTGCTCCAGACTAAAATATCTCAACATCAACCAGATAGATTGTCACAAAATGCTGTACATTCATTCCAGATAATGTAGCCTAATGAGTTGGGGATCTCCTAAGTGCCAATGAGAGGTTTGGTTTAGTGAAATATCTTCCATGCCATGACATTTGGTGCAGTATGTCCTCCACTGGATGAATATTTAATGCTTAATGCATGCTGACAGGTTAATGTCAAAACTACTGAAACCATCTTCTAAACCATTTCTGCAAATTCCTCCCAAAAGCATATCAAAACTTAGTTGGGCTACCCACCAAGTTCTCAGGAGTAAAGAGTAGACATACACTCACAAAAAAAGCAAACCACACAATGAAAGCAGGAAATTCATGTCTCCACAGTTGCAGCTTATCAGTGGCGTGCCAGGAACGTCTATTAGCATGAAGCCAGTGTGCGGTGTCCTCAGGGGACACTATATAACCTCAGATAAATTCACAGACACTTGGCAAACAGGCTTTACTGACCAACCATAGAAGAACAGCCTCCAAAGTAAAGATGGTATTGAGCCTTGTGTCTTGGTCTAAAAAGGAAGTAAAGAGTGATTTGGCCTGCAGTTCGACACCAATTGCATTTGAAGTTGTGTGGGTTTGGAATGGTTTTTCATGTTGTAATTGCTTTGCTTTTGCAGGCCAGGCATTGTTAAATTTGACAGTTGGACTCAGTCCGAGGTGTAATCCCATATCTAAATGTTAACAGAATATTTCTACAAGAGCTGAAAGAATGTGTCTGTGTCTGTCTCACAACTGTAAACCTCGGATTGCACAACCAGATCACAAAAATAACTACAGGAAACCCACAACGTGTTTAAAACATCAGCAACTTTTTCTGTTTAACACTATCTTTCTCTCTTACACTCCGACCCACCAGCCCTGGTGAACTACCACCTGCTGAACAGTGTCCAGTGTTCAGAAGCAATCATGGCAGGGTCAGTGTATGAGACCGCAGAGGGCAGCACCATAGAGATCGGCTGTGATGGCGACAGTTTGACAGTCAATGGAATCAAGATGGTGCTGAAGAAGGACGTTGTCACCACTAATGGCGTCGTCCACTTAATCGACCAGGTGCTCATCCCTGACTCAGGTAAAACACATCTTAAATATTCTCCCTCAGCAAATATTGATATCTGTTCAAATCATTTGGCTAAATTGTTTCTCTGTGATCACAAACATGTGATTCATATCAGCCAAGGAAGGGATGGAGCTGATGGGGGCATCGCAGAGCACTTTTAGCGACATGCTGTCTGAATTGGGCTTATCGGCTGCCATGGGTCCGAAGACAGAGTATACCCTCCTTGCTCCTGTCAACGCTGCCTTCACAAGTGAGTTGATCTCCAAACAAGTTCTTGTGGGTGCACACAATGATTTAAAGGATTGATCTTGAGGAAGGATGTGACAGAAGACTCATATGTTGTCTTTCACAGATCAAAAATATACTCACTCATTTTAAACCTTTCACTAGAACTTTTTAATGCATCCAGAGGAAGAAATGTTTAGTAAGGACTTACATGTAACATTACCCGAGTCATTTTAAATCTGTACCTTTTCTGTTTGTCAGCTGAGGTGATGTCAACAGAGCAGAGCCGGCTGAAATTAATTTTGGAAAACCACATCTTGAAGCTGAAAGTTAAACTGAGTGAGCTCTACAATGGACAGATGCTGGAAACACTGGCTGGCAAACTGCTCAGAGTCTTCATTTACCGCACTGTGAGAACTGTGTGTGTGTGTGTGCATGTGTGTGTGTGTGTGTGTGTGTATTGTTGTATTAGGAAGTCAAACAGAGTCGGAAAGGAATAGGAAATTAAGAGAAAAAAATAAGTTATGGAAAGATAATGGAGAGGGTCGGCTTCCATATTGCAAATCTGGAAGAAATGACTGGGCCCCTTACCAAGTGTTAACATGATCTGGCAATCTTTCAATTGAAAGCAAATGCAATAAAACAGGTAATTAGTCCAGCTCTTGGCAGATGAAGTGTGTGTTCTGCTCTGGTGGTTCATATATTAGGAACAGCTGGGTTTGATTTCCTCACAGAAACTTTTGTATTCTTCTTTTTTTATTGATTGCAATCAAACAGGACAGTGTGGCATTAAGCTAAATAGTTACCATATTTGTACAGTGACTTTTAGGCCTGTTACCCTGCTCTCTGAATGTTCTTCTCCTTTGTTAGGCTGTGTGCATAGAAAACTCATGTATGGTGCGTGGCAGTAAAGAGGGAAGCAACAGTGCCCTCCATGTTATGAGGACTCTCATCAAACCGCCCGAGAAAACAACATACGAGCTCCTGATCGCTGACAGACGGTTTAAGTAAGAACTTATTTTACGGATTGTTTTGCTGTACTTGTTCTGAACGTAATCATTGTTTATTTGTTGTTGTTTTTATATATATATATATATATATATATATATATATATTCTTTCCTGACAGTACATTTTGCAACCGTGAGTTGCAATGCCTCACCATCCACATTTCACATTTTCTGGCTCTGCGACAGATATTGGCACCAGTAGAGGTTGACGATGAAGCAGATGTAGAAGCAGATGCGTGAATGGGACCACACAAGTATCACTTAAATTCAAAACCGAACTCAATCATGTCACATTCCCAAAACCATAATCCTCCTGTCTAAAATTAACAACACCCTGAAGGTTTTTGGCTCAAACGCGACATAACACCTGGTCTCTTCCGAGCTTAGGACTAATTGTTCCATTATAGCCAGAGTTGTTCTTTTCCTTGCGGAGAAAGTTGATGTCCTGAGTTTGTTCAGTCTGAAACACACCATGATGTTAAACTGAAATTGACAGAACTGGCACAAAATGTCTATACTTTTATTATGTTGTTGCTGCCTTTTTGGATTGTGAAACATCAACATCATTATCATTTCCATGAACCCAAAAGACTACAAATTTAACCTGCGCATGCGCTTAAATGGAGGCTTCATTTCATTCCGGCAGTACTGTTCTGTATGGTCATTGTGTGAATTGACTTTCCTCTTTCTATTTTTTTATTTATTTTATTTTTTTTTTACAAATGTAGGATTTTTCTGTCACTGATGGAGACAGCAGGTCTGACTGATCTGCTGAAGCAGGAAGGCTCCTACACCATCTTTGCACCAACCGATGATGCCTTTGCTAATCTCAATATAGAGGACTTTGCTCTACTCAAAAGTGCGTACTCTACTGATATGAGCACACATCCAAGTCCTTTCATGTATCTCTCTCTTTGCTAGTTTGTACTGATTAAAAGTTGTACGATGCAGGGATGAGGGGAGAAAATAATGAATAATGCTATAGCTCTCAGTATGTAAATCATGTTTGCCTTTTGCTGTCATTGACAGGTGATCTGAATGCTCTGAGGATCATTCTGCTGTACCACTTCAGTAATGGCATCTTCATCAATGGAGGATTAGAGGGAGGAGTTACCAATCTGCTCAAAACCCTCCAGGGCAATAACCTGCAAGTTATGTCTGTATGTACAATCCATCACCTAAGTGTGTATTTGTGTCCTGAGAGTCAAAGAGACACAACTGGTTTCCTGAATCTGTCATTCAACAATCAAACAGGGATAAATCATTTATAGGTTGCATCAGCACAATACATTCAACACATCAAGAGTGTTGTGTTTTGAGTAAGATGTGTAACCATGATTATACCCCACAAACTAGTAGCTAGCTTTCAATGCCTGCCCAGGTTTGATTACAAAAAGGAACTCTGGGAAATGTAGTAAATTGTCAATTGAAGAAAAAGCTGATTTATTTCCTTTAAGAACATATTTTGTATTATGGTATTAAGTTTTAAATTACCACACATGTTTCGTTTTCTCAAAGCCTCCATTGTGAAGCTCAATCTAATTTTTCCCCACATTCTCATTAAAACAAAAGCATCAAAGAGCCAGTGCTAATCTATTACTTCAAAGCTGAATATCGCTGGAGAAAGGCCAGAAGTAATAAAACCTGGCTTTCTGTCGTTTCCATCAACGCCCACTCTCGGTATTCACCCACCACTCCCCACCTCCCAATCTAATGTCCTCCACCGGCCATTATTCTATGTCTGCCTTACTCCTGCTCTTCAGTCTTCAAGTCATTTAATTTCACCCATTACCTCAATTGTGCTTTCCCTCTTTCTCCTATCTCGCTGATCAGGTTATCAGCCAAGGACTTCCTTAATGGACACAGGAAAGCTTGTTTGAGATAATTCCCCATCGGGACGGGGATTCATTTAAACATGTGGTTAGGCTTTTAAAAACTACTGATCTGGCTGAAATTGGTGGGTGAGAGAGAGCCAGAGGAGCCAAAGGAGAAGGGAAACATATCCCTGACTGACTCAGCATGTCCACCTTCAGTAACCTCTACCTTAAATTGCAAAAAAATAGGTATGCTCAGATCTCACTCCCGACAGTGCAGCACACTGCCTGGGATTCCTATTAAGTCTCACCTGATATTTAAACCTCTCATGTTAAACCATTTCATAAAATGATACATCTTTAATTGTGGTAATGTTTTTATGCGGTAGCTGACGTAGCTCTCAAAATAAGAATGTGTTTATTGATACCCTTGAAAATAGATAGTGCATATAGTGTTTTTTTTCTGTTTTTGACAGGTAAACAACTCTATTCATGTCAATTCTGTGGATGTGCCAGACAGTGACCTGATGGCAACCAATGGTGTGATCCATGTGGTGAAGAATGTTCTCTATCCTGCCAGTGAGAACACCAGACCATTATTATGCAATCATGCAATGTGCACACTGTGCTGGGATGGATTATGTTATGCTATTTTGATGATGTATATTACTTACAGCTCTTCCCGTGGGCCGCCAGGACTTCCTGGTCCTCCTGAGGAAGCTCATTAAGTACATCCAGATAAAGGTAGATAGAAGATAGAATACACCGTTTGGATATGCATAGATCAATGCAAATCTTTCTATTATTTTGTGAGTCTTGTGCATTTCATTCTATGCTTTTTGTTCTTCAGTTTGTTTCAGGATTTTCTTATGATAAGATTCCACTCACGTTCATCAGTAAGTCTCTTTAGCACTCATGACATATCATATGAATATGAATACTCATGAATATAAATGCATTTGTAACAACTTTAAACTACTTGTGTTACTTCACAGGGAGGATCATCACAACTACACATGTTGAAACAGGTAAGACCCCTATTACTAGCTACATGATTAAAAGACAAGTTTTGAATCTGTCACTCACGATCATACAATAGCCTATATTTATCATTAGTGATGATTATAAAAGGCATGACTGCCTATGAAACAAATGTATGTCCTTTGTTCAAAAATGTGCATCTGTTCTTTGGACCAACTGTGGCTAAGTGGAGAGCGGGGTCGTCCTTCAATCAGAGGAGTGGCGGTTTGATCCCCGGCTCCGCTAGTCGCATGTCGATGTGTGATCAAGACACTTAACCCCAAAATTGCTCCCGTGCCTATGGTGTGTGTGAATGAGTTAGTCTGATAGGCAGGTGGCACTTAGCCCCTGCCTATCAGTGTGTGAATGGGTGAATAAGTGATGATGACAAGTAGTGTGAAAGCGCTTTGAGTGGTCGGAAAGACTAGAAAAGCGCTATACAAGTACAGTCCATTTACCATTCTTCAGTTGAAATCCAATCTGAAGCTAAAAGCATGTTACTTGGTGTCATCGCTCCATTCAGGCCTCTTCCATAGTTGGAAGAGGCCTCACTCTCACTATTGCACAAATCCACTTGGACCTCTTGGTATATTTAATCAGCTCCTTTTGGGATGAGGTAATTAGGCTGTCAAAGCATAACAGAGTCAAAGACCATAGAGGACTCTTGGATGATGCTCATTCAGTTGGGCATAGTCCAGTGCACATTCACACAGATGGGAGACTTCATATATTGGGTAACATAGGAGAGATGAATTACAATTTTTTCAAAGGTAATTAGGCACATGACATGACTTTAGAGCTGAAGGTTTGGACCTCAGGGGCTTTTCAGAATGCTAAAAGAGTGATTCATCTTTGTAAAGCAAACAAACTATTCATCATATTATTATACTGTATATTAAGAGGTATGAATTAAAATGGCACAGATTCCAAAAAGTTTTAGTTTTGGTCTACAGAACTTTGAAAATAATAAAACCTGTTTATGAATGATCAACTGCACAAATGGCAGTAAAACCATGCATCATACTCATTCACACTTGTTATACACACACACACTTTGTTTGAAAGACAGACATGAATCTGGCTCTGATTACTGGACTCGGCCACATATCAAGGGACTTAAAGGCCAAAGATTAGAAGGATACAAACATAAATCTGTAAGCTTTCATCTCTTTATAACTCAAATAAATAATGTCACATTAAAAGATCATCGCTCAGAATCAGAAAATATAAAAAGAAGTGAAAAAAGAATAAGTTTCTGTTGAAGCTAATTCAAAAGAGGAGTTAAAGGGTTTTACAGAGATATCTGGCTCCAGATGGGAATTCATTGATTTGAGAAAAATGTGTGATTACGTAACACGTCACACTTTTTTCCTTTTGCATTATCAGTAGATACTGATTCTTTAAATACCCAAACTTGTAAATGTATAAAATTTAAACATATGTGATTTTTCAAACACAACAGATTAGAAAATTAAATCTGTCCATTGGGATCAGCTCACCGGACCATGGAGTATAAGAGCAGCGGTTATTAAAATGCAACCTAATATCCTACACACATTAGCCTCTATCTGTTCTGCATGCTTTGATGACTTGGCATACTGATAGAGTGTGTTCAAAGGATAATCTTTCTTCCTTCTTAATTAAAGTATACTCATGTGACCGCTCCCTCTCTACAGTCCCTGATGCAACAAAGGTCGAGACAGAGCCAACAGTCACTCAGGTGGTCATCGAGGGGAAGCCAGTGATCGCCAAAGTAACCAGGGTCATTGAGGGAGAGCCTTCCATTACACACGTAACCAGAGTCATTGAGTCAGAGCCTTCCCTCACACACGTAACCAGAGTCATTGAGTCAGAGCCTTCCCTCACACACGTAACCAGAGTCATTGAGGGAGAGCCTTCCATCACAAACGTAACCAGAGTCATTGAGTCAGAGCCTTCCATTATACACGTAACCAGAGTCATTGAGGGAGAGCCTTCCCTCACACACGTAACCAGAGTCATTGAGGGAGAGCCTTCCATCACACAAGTAACCAGAGTCATTGAGTCAGAGCCTTCCCTCACACAAGTAACCAGAGTCATTGAGGGAGAGCCTTCCATCACAAACGTAACCAGAGTCATTGAGGGAGAGCCTTCCATCACAAACGTAACCAGAGTCATTGAGGGAGAGCCTTCCATCACACACGTAACCAGATTCATTGAGGGAGAGCCTTCCATTACCAAGGTTACAAGAGTTATCGAAGGTAAGTTCCTGAAGGTTAGATGATCAAATTTGGTCTTCACAAAGGTTTTGACATAGATGTGATGACACAACATGATTTATTTATACCACAGGTCGAAATCTTGATACGGATGAAAAAGGTCAGTTTCTCTTAACATGTTCACTCCTTTGAAGAGCTAAAACAGTCTAGATTGAAGAACTTTCATGCATCTTCTAACAGCTCTTTTAACAAATACATCTGCGGTTCTCTTGATCGCAGTTAACCGAGCATCATCATCTAATGATCAATCAGACACATCATTTTCATGGTATGCACCATTTTAGCCTTTTAGGCAGAATGAGTAGGATTTTCCTCAAAAAAAGGAAAGCAATGTAAAAAAATAAAAATAATCTCAATCTTCACTTATGACTCACTAAAAGAGTGTTTGCCAGAGGCAGAAGCGCCCTAATATTGCTTATAGGCACTGTGGCCATGGACATTTTGATAGCTCTTGACCGCCTTTCCAATATGTTTCCGACACGTGTGATCCAAACAGTTCCGTTAACTCCAGAAAGTACAAGTCATTAAGTTGGTCGAGCTGGAGTAGTTATGTTTCCTCCTGGCTGCTGTGATGTTGGGGGGAGAAACACAACATTTCTGTAATAGTATTTTGCAATGGACAGCGAGACATATTTTAAACAGAGAACACTCTGTTACACATTATGTTCCTTAGGATTGCACATTACGACAAGCTTTGGCCAGCCACCATTCAAAACATCACAAGTTCCTTCTGGTTTATGTTTATGTAGGCTCAGTAATGATGCTATAGAGGAAGGAGGTTGATTTGACAGTCCATTTTCTGGTTAGGCTCAACATATAGTAGATGAAGCCAAGTTCTTCCACTGCCCATGGTGCACCATGATTTGGGTGTCTGTCCATCTCACCACTTATCCATCTGATTTCATCTCTCCGTCACTGTTCTTGTCTCTCAGGCAAGAAAACCATCCTGTCTCCCATTCTCTGTCTAGTACAGCTGTGATGTGTATGTGTGAGCAGCAGTGTGCAAATTGAAATGTGCCATGTTAAAACTGTTTCTCACCAGTGCGATAAGAAAATGCGGTGCGGGAATATGAAAAATTTGCACATGACAATTTTGCACCTCGGTTCCGTTGCAAATTATCTGCATTGCCGTATTTCATTTCGTCAATGAGTCCCAATGAGTTTTTTTCCTAAATATTGCCAACAAAAATCCATCCAGTCAGAGAATGTCTAAGCCGCAAACCACATAATACATTGACTATTTGGACCCCAAATTTGATGCTAACACTTAAGTTAACTGTTGTTGCTAGCCCCGTTCCGTGACCAACATATAACGTTAGCATGTGCAGCCACATTACCAAATTAATCGTATCCAAGCTGCTCGGCGATCTCAAGCCATATATTGTCCTCAATTTGGTTGTTGAGGTAGTTTTTGCGGTGTTTGTCGTACATTATTGGGTGTTGAGAGAGGGACTGCCCATTATTCCGAAGGCACATTATTCCGAGACACCAGCAGTCTGAAAAATGTCCCATCAGAGTAAGCGCCCATTTGTCCGACAGTTCGTTGCCCCGAAAACGAACTGCTATCATTCAGAAAGTCCATTGCTCCAAAAATACACACTCTCCTTGCAACAAACAGAAACATATGGCTAATTATTATACAGAATGACGGTGATATTTTTAATGACATCAGTTTGAACAAAGGATGTTACTGGTCACTGTTGAAATCGAGGTCCGTCTGAATATTTTTTGCCACGCACGAATATTCCGCAGAGGTGTGCAAGCATTCATAAGGACAATCATTTATATAAAATGATGTGCAAATTTTACCAATGAAAATCTGTACTTGGTATGAAATGGCTTTTATGGTACCCAAACCAGACCTTGAAGCCAATAGCAGGTGTGGGTGCAGGTGAGCTTTAAGGTGTTTTCACCTAAAACTGCTTCACACGTGTCGTGCAGCTTAGTTTGTGGGCTAAGAATGTGTGTATGTGTTCATAAATACTGCACAAATATGCTTGACTTTGTGTTGGTGGTGGCGGAGGAGGTGTTTTGTGGGGTGTATGTACCTGTCAGTCTGTCGTTGCTAAGTCGTTTCATGACTTTCGACACCCTTCTCCGCTGCCGGTCTGAACTCTTTATACCAAACAGGTTTCTTTCAAATGGTTCTCCTTTCCTCCTTGAAATAATCATATTATCAATCTGCATTCGGTCAGGACTGACCGAATTCAGTGGTTGCTTCAAGGTGGAAAAGAGAACGAGATGTATTTTTTTTAATTGATCTAACTCCATACTTGATTTCATATGTTAAATTGTTCAGTATTTTGTGATCTAATGGTTTTGTTATGAACGTCAGGCCCGGACTTCTCTAAGATCACCACCATCCACGGCAACCCAAATATGATCAAGGAGGAATCGGAGAGAATTACCAAACTCATTCAAGGTAAATACTCATAACTGTATCTGATCTGCTCAGATTTTGAATTTCACTTGCATGTGTGTGTGTGTGTGTGTGTGTGTGTGTGTGTGTGTGTGTGTGTGCGCGCGCGCGCGTGTGTGTGTGTGTCTCAACGCAGTGATTGACTGTTTTGTCTCTTTGTTTCACAGACGGAGGTGAATTCGCTGCTGCCAGGAAACCTTCAGGTGAGAGCAGTTGATGACACATTTATCAACACCAATCTTGGATCAGACTAAAAAGAGTTTGCCAAAAACCACATAATCACTGATGGAAAATATGCACAGCAAAAGTCAACTCTTTAACCACAAATTATCATTGTTAGATTTTACTTTCACTCTTTTCACTTTTATATTTTCCAGTACCTTTGAGTCCTTCCACCTAGTCACATGTCTCATATATTTCCACCTTGACATGTTTTATTTTGTCCTTGTCTTTATTTGCACCTCTAATTTTCTCCATTAACTCTTAACTCCTCTTTCACAGCTGGAATGAGAAGGAAGAGAATAAAGGTCAGGCGTCACCCTAAGCCAAGGGCGTGAATCCAACAGAGAGAAAACACCTTCGGGCTCACCGCAGAGACTGACCGCATCTCCAGTGCTCCTGGTTGAGTGCTTGAAAAACTGTGGACCAATAGGGAGAGATCTAATCAATCTAGCTATTTCTTTGTCCAAACCACCAGTAAGAATGATTGTTTATTATTCCATCTGGACCATACTGTGTGTGTGATAGGCATGATGTGTAATAGCAGTTATTACCTTGTAAGTCATGTAAGTGTGCACGGGAAATATGGATTTTTGCCGCGGGGTAGATGATGTGTAAGGTGAGATATTTTCTACCACTGAGACATTGTGTTTAAAGTTTTTTTTTTTATCATTTCACTTTGCAAACGGATGGCTTGGGAAGATTTTTGTATGCTTTTTATGGTGCTAGCATTCTGTACAATGAATGCATTTTTATGAATATGACAAATGCAACAGTGCTACCATTAGATGCTATTCTGAACCTCTGTAAATTATCATATGGTGACAATTAAATTTGATACAGTTTTCAATAATTCTTTCAAGCTTCCATGACTGTTTCTACTCCACAAAATCAATATGTTTCATGCTGTTGAATGTGAGCCTGACCTCAGTATGTCGCTTTACAAAACTAGGCTCAGGCTGTTCACGTACACTGTTCGTAACTATACCTACGAAAAATAATGCACTGCAATTGTTTCATAGCCCACATAATACATTTTTATGTAATTCACATAAGCGTGATCTAGGATAGTTGACTTGGAAAAAGAGCGACAAAGTATAAGGAGGAGGTCTGGGTGGATGGGAGGGTCTAAAAACACCTTTTATCTTTAACCAAGGAAGCCGCTGTTTGTGTCTGGTGTGAAACCCAGAAGTCAACATTGACTTATTTGTCACATGACTTTCATACTTTAGTAACTCCACTTCTGTAGTTATTTTAACCCATACCACAGCCTTTTCCTTAACCTAACCAAGTAGTTAGTTGCTGGATATACGTAGGAAAATGCACAAAAAGGCAAGAAATAACGTGAAGATATCATACGACCCATTATATGAGGATATGTTGCCATGCTTTACAATCCTTTTTTGTTTTTACCTCAAGGAAAAAGTGCTAAATAAAATTAGCATAGTGACTTCAGAATACTAATATGTGTTTCATTAATCTTATCTTTCTATTGTTGTAGCTAAAAGTGCTATGGAACCAAAAAATATCATAAAAATATGTAAAAATGTAATATAGAACAACATCAGTGTCTAACAGTGAGATATTAGTTTATCTCAAATCTGTGTATCAACGTCATCATGTTTTAACCCCTCGTGGGGCTTTTGCCATTTCAAAACTACATTCTCAATTACATTCATTGGCTTTGGACCACTTATGTTCACATGGCTCATCTACCACATGAATCTTACGAACTTCACCCCAAAAAAAAATGTCTTCAAAGGATTCCCTTAAAAGATATTTCATACGGATTTGTCTTTTTCATCTCCTGAACAAAAGGTATCTGCATGGTGAGAATATGTTCATAAACATTGTACACAACAGGCCAGAATTTAAGAACAACATAACAGTTACACAATGCATCTCATGTGTGACTCATATTATCCTGCAGTTTATCATAACATATGAAAAAAACTAACATGGGACTGTCCATGTAGCTCTGTTGCAAGATCGTTAAAATGATCCATGGTAGCTCTTCCAGGTCAGCAGCAGTAGCCGAGGGGAGTTAACTGCAGCCGAGGGGAGTTGAAGTTTGCACGAGGACTGCCGGCTTAACGTCACAGAGTGCTGATAAAAAGGTGATGAAAAGAGGTTATGATAGGACGTCAGCTTACTAGGTGTGCACATGAAGCACATGGGTACAGAAGCTTGGAGTCTTTGCATTATTTTCCATTGAAACAGTCAACACAAAGATTATTAACTACTCAAGTTTATTATTTTGTTCGCCTCATCTAGTTCTTTGTTTATCCATTGCCCTCTTAAAAATGCTCCATTAAATCTCCAAAGTGACTCTTGTTTACTGTGAGTCATTGTTTTGTTGGTGGTTGTAGTCATTGTAGATGTGTAGAAGAATCAGTATAACAGTCAGAAAAAAACTATGTCTCTCATGTTTAAAGGTACTAGATACAGTGCATTCAGAAAGTAATGACACAGCGAAAACAGGATTTAAGATTGTTTTGCTAATTCATTAAAAGACAAACAAAATGGAAATATCACATAAATGTAGTATTGAAACCCTTTGTTGTGGCACTGGAAATGTAGCTCAGGTGCCTCCAATTTTGCTTGGTCATCTGTGATCGCCTTGATTGGAGTCCACCTGTGATAAATTCAATTGATTGGACATGATTTGGAAAGGCTCACACCTGTAAGGCCTCACAGACAATGCATATGGCAGCAAAATCCAAGCCATGAGGTTGATATTTTTGTCATTATGGGGTACTGAGTGTAGATTGATGAGGAAAAAATTAATTACATTTTTTTTTAATTGTGAGAAATAATGCTATAGTTTTATAACCTTTGGTTAAGAAATTTAAGCAGTGATTTACATGAGAATTATGTAAACATGCAAAAGGAAAATGGTGTGCTCATCTTTGCCTCCATTCAGTTATAAGACTCGTCAAAGTCAGGACAGGAAATCAGTTTGAGAATGCTTTCTGGTGGAGAGTTTGATTGACACCACTCTGAGATATCTCTGATATTAAGAGTCTCAGGCTTCACCTATCATTACAGACACAACCTAACATGTCGTGAGTAATACTAACATCAGATGAACAGTGTCTCAATTCTCTGGAGCCAAAGTTTTGAAATCAATCTGTGAGGATTCTAGGGATGACAGAATTGACTCATTGTTTCACTCTGTCACGAACAATCAAAGAAATATACCCCTTGGATGAAACTCACAAAGACGCATTCGAGCCAGAATAATTGATGTGATTTAGATCATGTCATCTTGCTCCAGGAACCAATCTTGGCCAAGTATGAACTCACAGTCCTCCACAGATCTTTGCAATAATAAAGTACAATGAGTAATTAAAAAAGAATGGAAATAAACCGAATCAATAAATTGGCTATAATGGCATTCTATTGAATTGAATATTAACTTTTCAAAATAATTTTGCCGATATTTGTTTGAAAACTAAACCAATATTGACTGCATGTGACACAGATTGTTTGTATTCCTCTGTAATGTTTTTTGTAGTTTAGCATATTTTTTACAATTCACTACCCAATAAAAACACAAACTTTTAATTTGTAAAGCCTTTATATCAGAGAGGTTTATTGCTTTATGTTTTCCTTTTTTTTCACAACTTTTTAGCACCTTGTGACATACAGTATATATATTTAGGGAGAAGTGCTTCCTCTACTGCCACTAATTCCCCCGATGAATACACATTTTACTAAACTGTATCCCCTCCTAGGATTTGACCCAAAGTCTTAGCCGATCTTCCCTTCCATGCTCAGTGCCAGGATTCACTTCATGATCGATGTACTGTGAGAAACATTTCCAAACCACTCTAAATATATCACTTCCACTGATCCCAGACAATGTGTTTGGATTTTGTATTCTATAGTGAACTATACAATAAGATAGATGTGCATTGGTAAACCATAGTGCTCCAAATTTTAGAGCCTATCTTTGCCTTTACCTTTGTCTTTCCTCTGCAATGATTGTCATGATATTACAATAAGTTTTCCACAATAATATTTCACTGTTACAAGTGGAATGGATGATGTGTGCTCTATATGGGAAAATTCCACAAAGCTGAAGTATGACTATGATTTTCAAGACTCAACAGACAGCAACACGTGCAAATGCCCGGCTGAAGCAGAGCAGGATTTAATGTGCAGGTCAGCGGATCCGTTTGTGCTTCTGGCTAGTAGTTCCTCCGTAGAGAGAGTAATTCATCTGATCTGTGCGTCTGTGGAGAGATTGATGTCACGCCTTGCAGATGCCCTTTGGGTCACAAGCCAAAGAAGCTTTTTGTGTGTGTGTGTGTGTGTGTGTGTGTGTGTGTGGGTGTGTGTGTGTGGTGTTGAGTGATGAGAAAAAGTTGCAGAACTGCACCAGTGTTGCTAAAAGAGAAGAGGCATGGAGCAATATAGCTTTGTACAATTCACTCAAACAAGCTTAAGCTTTGACACAATAACACTAGCTGGATTTTGTCGTATTCCAGCAGGTAAGTAGTGTTTGCGTAGTAAATGTATCAATTTAATATAGCTGATACATACTTTTACTGAAGTAGGGTTTTAAATGCAGGACTATAGGTTGTAGTGGAGTATTTTCAGTGTTGTATTAGTACTATTGCTGAAGTAAAAGGATCTGAATACTTCCTCCACCACTCCAGGTTGTTGGGGATTTCCCAGTGATGATAACATCACTGGGAAATCACTGGGACGAGACTGCGGTCACGTTTTCCGGCCTCCACAGAAACATCAGGTGACCTTTCACCAACACGGAGTCTCTCTTAAGATCACGTCTGTCCTCCATCACCAGGCTGAGTCACCACGATGTCACAGGCAGTACAAGTACCAGCGTAAAAATACTCCACTACAAGTAAAAGTGCTGCATTGACAATGTTATAAGTATAATCAGGAAAATGTTTAAAAAAATTGTTTTTCTGTTGTAGTTGGTTGAGGTGGAGCTCATTTTGAAGTATTAAATATTAATCTGCTGGTTATTTTTCTCCATTAGTCAACTGATTGTGTGGTTTTTAAAAACATTGAAAATAGTAAGAAATGCCGTCACAATTTTTCTTTTGTCCAAACCTCAACATTATTATTAATAAATTAACGATATTAAAAGAAAAAAACAGCAAGTCTTCACATTTGTGAAGCTGGAAACATTAAATATTTTTGCATAGAATATATATATTTCCACACATCTGTGTTTAGGGGAAACAGAAAACAAATATGTTAACTAAATGCAGTGATACCGACTTTTACTATGTTTATTTTCATACAATAAACTACTGTAGTAAACATCCTCCAATGCCAACCTGTGTTCTGCTCCTGAACGCAACATATATGCTATGATTGAGATGCTAAAAACGAATTAGAAAATAAGCAAAGAAGTCAAAATCATTAAAAGTACAGTATAAAAAGCATCGACAAATCCTGGCTTCATGAGAAAAAAACGTCTACTTGTATAGAACGTGTGGTATTAAATAATATTTAATTAATAATCCATTAATATGAGAACATTTGGGACATGACAGTTGGAGTTGATGAAGTACTGTTATGTGACGCCAATGCTGAAGTGCCTTAAAACTGCATTCGTTCTAATGGCCATCAGGGGGTGACTCCTCCGGTTACAAATGTATATGTTATATATATTCCTTTATGATTAGGCAGTTGTCTAGTTTTGATTTTGCCAATGTACATTCATATTCAAAGTTCAGCATTTAATGATGTGAAGGGATCTGCTTTCCCTGCATTCACAGTCTGTCTTTGCCTAACACAGAACATGTACAGTGACATCATCCATTACTAACCATGATAACAAGAAGGATTTTCCAAGGAAACAGGTGGTGCAAAATCTGAGAGGAAGAAAGACACAAAAAAGAGACAAGGTTGAAAACAGAATGAGGGAGGGAGGGATAAAACACAGAGAGAGGAAGGCTGTGTGCTCTCTGTAACAGTTGCTAAAACCAGTGACAAGACAGAGCAGCACGTGTTTTATGTGTGTGTGTATAGGCTGTTCCTACAGCAGATGTTAAGGTGGCTGACCTTTTGTCTGGACTAGACGAGGCATCCCTCGGGGCAAAAACAATGTGGAGAACAGCGCGTGAAAGTTGTGCAGTGAGCAGCTAATCAGAGCTACGTGACTTTTCACACAAGTAGGATTGCAGTACATGTTGAGTTTCAGCTTTGTTCTTGACCATGATTCAATTTATTCTGAGACAATGCAGTTTATCTGCCAGAACACATTTTTGCAGAACAATGGAGGTGCATAAGTTTAGAACTGTTGTATCTGACTTGAAAATAAGAAACTTGAATGTTTCAACAATACATTGAAGACATTCAGCGATTGCATTTCCACATGAGCCTGTTTAGCTCTAGTTGAGTATGTTGTTGGACCGATTCAGATTAGTTTTGTTGAAATATAAACAGACTGATTCATCTGTTTAGCTTGTTTCACGATGTCATAAAATGTGATTTACACTCTAGAAAGTATTGCATCAATTCTTCCGTTTTATTTCTCCATTCAGTTTTAGTTGTAACTCTTTCACCCTTTTATGCAAAGGACTGTTTGAGGTTTATGGATACTTCAAAATAACCTTCAATATGCCACACAAAATCCTTTGAGTATGAAACACTCACTCCTCTTTAGGGTTGAAATGTGACTGTTAAAAGTTTGTAATTTCCTCCTTGGCAGAGAATAGCAGCTGTGGTCAGTTTGAATTCATGTTGGTTACAATGGGTTGTGATGGTGTTAAGTTACAGTGGAAAGATAATTATCAATTTCTAAAGAAACTACAAACTCAAGCTTAGAATTACTCTGGCAACTTAAAAAAGTGTGTGCCAACGCATGGACTCTGCAGCAAGCAACAACATTAACATTTACAACTTCCAAACTAACTAACTCATCCTGGCCAAAGGCATCAACTGAAGCAAAAACACACTTGAATTGAGAAGAAGGAGAAAATAGAAATGAAAAAATGTGTCAGCAATGATAAATGGTGGATTCAAACACACCATAAGTATTGTCCCAGTCAACAACAAGTCAATAAAAGATGAATAATTATAATTAATGTGGAATTACAATATCTTAACTGCATCTTGTCTGAGTTAAATTGAAACTCCATCTGATCAAAATCAAATTGTAGTGAATCAACAGCTTTGAATCACGGTGTATTTCATTATAACAATTGTTTACAGATTTGTAAACAAATATGACACTGACTGTCGATTATAGATTGTTAATGAGGGAATCAATGCAATAGAGCATTACTTTTGTTAACTGTGACTTGGTAATGGGATGCTAATTCATAAAATAACATTCAAATTTGACCCCTGCTCATTTGATCCACAAAAGTAACAATGGTCATACAATGCTACAAATCCTGTTTCTTTCTTCTTTTGAATGTTCGTAAATCACCTCACTTCGCCTTCGTACCTTGGAACATTACCAACAGCTTTGCTTCCATCATCAGTAAGCTCAGGAGTCTCAAGCAGTACATCACCGAATGATAAGTGATTTAGCTTGTACAGTAGTTGGATTTAGCAGAACAACCTCCCTCATCTCATAACCAAAAACATATGAGCTTGTGCTTTATCAAAGAAGCCTTTTCTTTCCAGCCACTGCTTGCTTCAAGGCATCTGTTTTTGGATTGTTTAGGAAAGGGAAATTGTTGTAATATGGTCTATTTTCAGAAATTATAGGATTTTCCACAGTCATTTTTGGTTTATCTTCTCACTGGCATTGATTTTACTTTAGAAGATGATGTCATTTATACGGATTGATATAAATACAAAAAATAACAAGCAAGATATAACTGATTGCCAAGTTTTGCATAACGTTAGCCTCTGGCGTCCTCGTAATGCTCTTGCATTGTTTATGGTTATAGTTAGCTGTGGATCAACTGGAGGAGTGCTGGAAACCAATACCCTGGCCTATATTCCCTGCTCACTCCTCTTTTTTCGTTGGATGCCAAGATGGGTGTAGTGGTCAACAGCTTTGCATTTCAAATTACAAATATTGCAGCAAATGTCAAGTTATGAAAAGTGTAACCACACTTGCAACCACTTTCGGCTCACCATTGCACTGACTCACTGTGACTTTAACAAGCTGCAGACTCTCTTTCTCTCTATACTCTCTCACCCAGATGTGCTCTCAGGTAGGCTACCGGAATTTGCCACCAATTAATTTAACGTAAATCTGTACTAAGAAGTACCGACACAATTGAGTCAGTACCATTAAAAGTACATAGTTCAGTACCCAACCCTACAGGACGTGTAACCAACATTTTATTCCAGTAATATCAAGTCTTTGTTAAGTCCCCAATGAAAATGACAAATTCCATCATCTAATGGTTTGTTGATACACTGATTCTTGGCAGTGTCCAAGATCTCCCATACAGCAAGAGATAAAATATGTTGTAAAAAACTTCCACACTCATGATAAACATTCATTACTTTACTTCTGCTTGAGCTTATTGGAGAATTTATAATTGTTTTCAGAGACAAATACATGACAACTTGACAGATGCCATCAACTCCTCTGCCATTACACATTGTATGCTTTATGAGAATATAATGATAGCTCAGAATCACTTTGCGTAAACTAGTGTTTAAACCTAGGACATTGAGCAGACATTTCAGGAAACTGCTCCCCATCAGGGTTTATAGTTTGTGTTCCTTATTTTACCAGGTGTTTCCTTTATTTTGGTCGTTTATTCTGTCTCCAGCCATATCAAGGAAGGCAAACACACCCTGTACACCCGACAGCAACCTGGTACACAGTAGGTTTACCAGACTTTGTTCACCATTAGCTGTCAAATAATTCGCATGAAGTAACTACTTCAAAAATGATTAACAGCTAAATGTAAACAATCCAAATAGCATTAAAGCACAAACCTACTCAGCCATGCAAAAGTCTGCCGTGCCATATGTTTTATGTAACAGCTTAAGTTTAAATAAATAAAAGTTGCCATTAAAGTATCAGAAGGGTTATTTTTGTTACAGTCTGCAGAAGCCATTTTCATTTTTCAGCAGGGCTCTGGACAGAATAATGACCATGTGGAAACCCAGAGATGTCTGACTCATGCTTCAGTGAGGGGTCTCTGCAGCCCCACACATGATGTATGAGAAAATGGCTTGAAACCAGGAAGCACTCAGATTATAAGAGCAAATGGACAAATGAATGAGGAGAAGTTTCTTACCTGCAATTTGTTTATTCAGCAACTTGGTTGCCTCCACTTTCAATTTACAGCTCATGTTTTAGCTTTGCTCTCTGTCTTGATACAGCATTGCCAAATTACATTATCGTTTTTTTTATGAAACCAGTTGTGTGAATGAGTGTATTTAGGCAATTGATTATTCTTTAAATGGATGTGTAATGTCTTTCTAACCAGGAACTGTAGAGGAATGTGTAGCTTTTGGCTGAATCTGCCTCATTTAATTAAATAGATAAAGTAAAATAATTAAAAATGTCTTGTAAGGCTGACAAATGGCTGCTCCACCAATAAACATTTCCTTACACGTTGATGCTAATGATTATTTGATTTATTGTATTGGAGGCGAAGAGGGTTTTTGTAGATATCATCAATCTAAACATCCACACTTCTGGGGTGAAAGTGCAGGTCAAAGTGTTGTGATGGAATTAGTCTGAAATGGCTTTGCCACCTGTATAACAGGACACAACACACTAATAAAGAAGCAACATGTTACATATAGAATAATTTATTTTCCTAAAAATGAAGGCTTTCTCCATGTATGATGAGTGCTTGCAAGTCAGCTGGAGGAGGACAAAACCCACAATTTAGTTATAAATTCTATGACCTGAAGAAGACAAAAGTTAAAGAACAACAGAAAAAAATGTGGTTGAATATTGGTTGCCTTAAACTTTTTTGGATTGACAACCACGCTTTTCATTATCTGTTGGAAAGAGCACTGACCAAAGTACAAATATTTAACAAAATGAATCATCACTGGATAGACTGTTATTATGAGTACCTTTGAGGGAACTGCATTGGAAAACCACGCAGTGTCAATGTCACTTCTGTTCAACAGACACAGGTTCCTCTGTTTGCTTTTTCCACTTTCAGTTTGAGAGAGAGCAGGTGTACACTTGCAAAATGACTCTCCAAAGATCAGACTCTCACAAATGATTTGTGGGTATTTTACAATTGCAATCTTAATCTGTCTAAATACATTTGACAGTTCATTCTGAAACAGTAGAGGAGATACATCTCTATACAACTTTATCTATATTTAATATGATTAAATCATATGACAAATTATAATTTGACTTCATAAATAATAAATAGATACAAATTAGACACTGTAAGATATATGTTTTGTCTAAACAAAACACTTTAGAGAACACATTGTAGCATATTTCTAAATCAATTTGACCTTAATCAGTGTTGTTTGCTTTTGGTCATCCTTCTAGCTCTGCAGCACAGGAACCTGAAAATAGCCAAAGTAGAGAGCAGCAGTACTGTCACTGCAGTCAGCAATAGTAGTAGTACATCTAAACAATAGTATGAGTACCAGGGCATCTTATAGGCCTCTGTTCGCAGATGAGGAGCCCCTTTATGGCGCATCACATATTCCACCCAGAAGATGGCCTGATCCATGAGTGCCATCGGCTGATCTCTGTGCAAACGTGACAGTCTCTGCATGTTCTGTCTGTAGCTGTCATGATGGAGCACGTCGTGAATACCTTCCTCAAAACTGTGGCCGTTAACATCAGCTAGCTGAATGATCTTCCCGGCCCCTCGCTCCTGCAGCCGTAGAAGGTTGTCATACTGGTCGAAGAACAAGGGTATACCGAGCACAGGGACCCCGTGGTAAATGGCTTCTTGGACTCCGTTGGTTCCTCCATGAGCTACAAACACTTTGGTCTGTGGGTGGCCCAGGAGGTCCTTCTGTGGCATCCAGTCCACTATCAGGGTGTTGTTGCCTAAAGTAGAAGGACGCTCCCCTTTATGCCTCCATATCACCTAAATAGAAAAGGAAATCATTAGGAATTTACTGTGTACACCAGCATATATGCAATATGATGATGTTGACATTGCTGCACCCTGTGTTCTTTATTTACAAAGTCTATTACGTTTATTATATATTTATTTTATATTTATAGCTCCTGACAGATGGGCACCCTTCTGTCAGGGGCTTTTTTGACAAATTCCATGCGGAAAGGTTTTTTATTAATGCCTCTGTCTGTTTCATGATTAATATTGCTTTTAATGTAATGGATTTAACGAAGGATCTATTGCTGCCTAAATATCTGTAAGCCTCTCCAGATCAAACAAGTAGCAATTTTAAATTTCAGTTTTTTTAACATGCCATGCTATTGCAAAAGTCAATTAATGAGCATGTGTTACCTTCTGAGGCATCTTGGCAAAGACGCTGACGATTTCATCAGCAACCTCCTTGGGCAAAGCGTTCACCGAAGTCCCCAGAGTCATGATGATGACTCCGTGCTCCCCAGCGCTCTGAACAAACTCCTCCAGGTCTGCTGGCAGAGGTTGAGCTGGTTTGCACTGGAACCCTCCTATGTAGATGACATTTGGCATTGTGGGCCGAGGGAATTCAAACACAAAATCTGACCTGAACAGCCAAATGTCTGCTTCCTGAAGAAGCGAGATGACGTCACATCCACCCTCTATGTATTTATCACAGATGGCGCTATAGCTCGGCCCCACCAGGAATTTCTGCTGGAACAGTACAATGCCATAGAAAAATATGTTCTTAAGCCTCTGGATGAAATTCATTTTGTCCATTAAGCCTGATCCTGGCACTGGGATATAAGAGAGTGGTGAGGGGGCGATCACAAAGTGGCCCTCTCCACTGGCGATCCAGCGAACATTGAGCACCATGGGCAGTTTGAGATACTTGGCTAGTATGACCCCTGGTGCTACAGCTGGGTCAGTGAGAACAAGATCATATTGGGCATCCATTAAGCTTTTGACCAAATGTTCATCATCAAAGATTTGAGCGAGGGCATCAGTCCACTTTGAATGAGCAATAGAGATCATAGAGAGGAAGTCCTTGGTGAGTTTGAAGAAAGTAAGTGCTGAAGCTCCTTCTCTCTGCGCCTGAAAAATGTTTATTTTTAAAGTGGTGAAAAAGCGATCATCTTAATATTTGAATGACTAGATGACCCACGTGGGGCCATATACATGAGCCATAATGACATACCCTCATATTCTCCTTTAGGTACACCTCAAAAAAGTCCTCGAAACCTTCAATCTTTTCCATGGTAATGGTTGTGTAGAGAGGAGACTTTTCTGGGATGTACCAGCTGTTGGATGCCCTCATCACAGTGATGCTGTGTCCCCTGGCATGAAGTTCTTCCAGCAGGATCTTCATATTGATCCAGTGGCTGCCGTCCACAGGGAACACCAGGATGTTTCCTCCATCGCAAGGTGGTGTGAAGGAAATCAGACATACACTGAGGAATACAAATATTCCACACACACAATGCAATGGCATGGTTCCTAAAGTGTAAGAAAGAGATGAACATGAGAAATCTCTTCAGTTTCAACAAGCGAAGAATTGTGCTAAACAATATGGATTTTCGTCAGGTATGTAAAATTATACAGTTTCTTCTGGTGTAGCAAATGAGAATTTACAGGTGTTTTTTTTTTTTAATATGGTATGATACGAACTACAACTTGATAATGTTCCTGAAATTCACTTACCCATGTTCAAGAGTGGGAACAGTGATGCTTCTTTCCTGCAGACTGCAGTTCATCCAACGGTTCCTTATGTAATTGAGGTCAAACTCCAGTCTCAGAGATGATCGGTCCTCAAAGGTGAATGAGTTACTGGAATATGGCATGTGTCCAAGTGAAGTAATGACCACGCATGTTCTGCAGATAACATACAAAGTGATGGTTTCTTCTTCGTCATGTCATCATAGTTTCATTACTTCTTTTAGTAATGTTGTTGAACTGCTGGTAGTGGTAGTGTTCTGGTTTTGTGGATGTGTTTTTCTCCTTCATGAGAGCTTGCGTCAGAAGAACCTGTGACCTCATTCACAAGAGTATTAGAGTGGGTTGTGTAATGTTAATCCACATGAGTTCCATGCATATCATCTTAAAGGTACAAATAAGTACCTGGAGAAACATAAATTGGTTTCCTGGATTCATGTATGAGCTATTATGCTTTTAGCAGTTAGTCATGCGGTTATTTTCTGCAAGTTTTTGACTCGGAGGTTTGCTCTGTACAATTTGTGTACAAAATACGGCTGGCAGTTGAATGGAGGTTGCAGGTCTTAGAACTGAACTCATTGATCCCAGGCATGTGCTCTCATATCAGTACCTTGAGATCAATATTGATTCATGGTTGTAAAGAGAGAAAGAGAGAGAGACGAAAATACTGTAGCTGTTTCAACATGCCTCCCCCTGTTGATTTTGACAGAGAATCATTCATAAGTTAATAAATATTTAGCATTCTGCTAATTTTACATTCATATGTGGATACTCTGATTAATAAGTGTAGTCTTTGATTATATTAAAAGTAGCATACTGTTGTTGTTGTTGTTGTTGTTGTTGTTTAGCCTTATGAGGCTATTGCATGGTTAAATCAATTGATTTTTTTTCATGATAAAAAAATGACCCCTTGTCATTTCTAACAGCCCCCTCAGTCACTTCATCCTGGCGCCTGGCCTGGGTGTTGGACTAAAAAGTGTTTTGTAATGTTACTCAGGACTCACTCTAAATGGGATCATCATTTACTAAATGAACATCATGCTGTATTTAAGAAGATTTGAAACTAGCGATTGAGACCAAAAACTCATGTTTACAGTGTTTACTGAGGTAGATCAAGAGAGAGGTAGAGTCGTTTTTTCATAGATTCTCATACAATAGGACTGAAACCAGAGGAGTCGTCCTCTGACGGCCAGTAGAGAGAATGCATGTTGAAGACACTTTCGCATTGGCTTCACTTTTCAGAACCGAGGTTGCAGCCTGGTTGGGCTGTTATTAAATGCTTCTACCTAGCACTAATAATTAATGAACTCATTAAGGACAGTATTTCCTGCTTTTGTGCTTTTGATATGCTGTTTTCTTTCATGTACATAAGGAAGTCTCTATTTTGTTGAAAATATTAAAGCTAAACTTGGCAAATAAAATTGCTTCATTCCACTTACATTTGTTTTTTTTAAGTCCCAATAGAAAATCAATTTCACCATACAGCTTACTAAAAATATAAGCTTTCTCCAAGTATGATCTAAAGAAGTTCTTGCAAGTTGACTGGAGGAGGAAAACCCATGACAATATCTTCCATGATAAATTCCATCATCTGTGACCTGAAGAAGGCAAACGTTGAAGAACAACAGAGGAAAAGTAGGTTGAAAATCGGCACTGGATGGACTGTTTTCATGAGTGGGGAAATATATATTTAGGGAACTCCATTGGAAAACCACAAAGTGGCCCTTTTAAAGTGGCCAATATGAACACGTCAATCCAAGTGGAACCTCGTTCAACGTCACCTCTAATCAACAGACACACATTCCCCTGTTTGCTTTTTCCATTTTCAGAGTGAGAGAGAGCAGGTATGCACTTGCCAAATCACTCTCCCATTATGGTGACATCTTCTGTGTGTGTGTGTTTCACACACATGAAAGCTGGAAATGGTTTTTGATAGTGTATACATGTTTGCGTGTGTGTGTGTGTGTGTGTGTGTGTGTGTGTGTGTGTGTGTGTGTG